GCTGGATTAGGAGTCACAGCAGTACAACCTCACCGTCCTCAACTGGCAAAAGCCACTGAGGCAGTTTTGCCCTGTGCATGTGGTCAGTGTGGTTCTCCTTTGGTGTAGCCAGAGGACAGGAAGTTCTCCTTGCTGATGCTGTTGGATGAGGCTCCCTGTGAAATTTATTGTGGTTTATCTTGATTTAGCCAAAGATATTGGCTGTTACCCAGCAGGAAAAATTAAATTCTTGTCACTAAAAATTAGCCTCATATTTTGGCCTTTAGGGACACTGCCTCTGAGAGAGGGATGGCTATGGCAACCAAAGGCTCCATTCAGTTTTGAGCAGGTTCACAGTTACCTGGGGCCTTAAGAAAGGGTTATCACAGAAAACCTTCCCTTAGGCTCCACACAGGAATGCAGTGCCTTGATTCTCATTTCTGTTCTGTTTCATGTCCCACTACCTCATGTTTCTGTGCCATCCCAAAGCTGTTTTTGCTGCCATTAATGTTTCTCACATAAAAGCCATGTGGAGAGTACAGCTCTCACTGTTCTGAGAGGCTCCTTTCCTCACTAGGGCACATGCATGTGGCAGCTTTTTTCTAAGTGCATTTGAGACTCTTGAGTTCAAATCCATGTGTCAAGTGCCTCTTCCCTGACTGCAAAGACCCTGGGGACAATCTGAGAAAGAGGATGGCTTCTTGCTCCCTCAGTGTGCCCTGGGAAGAGCAAAGGAGCTCAGGGCTTGTTCAACTGTTGCCTGCAGCACTTGGATTTCTGTTTCTGCATAAAGAACAGAGAGCCACTAAGAACTTCAGAAGCTGCAGTGTGACACTGAGGCTCTCCAAAGCTTTTGTCATCTATTCCTATTTACATCTAACACCATTTATCTTTTCTGTGGCACTTCTTCCAGGACTAGACTTGGAGCCCCTGAGGAGGGGATAAGGGTAGCACTTACTGTATGGCAGGAAACAGGCAAGTGTTGGGAAGTTCTGTTTTTCACAAATAGCTTTGTCTTTCATCGGCTTTGAGAATACCAGTTGTTCTCAGGAAAATTCCTGAAGGAGCACACAACACAATAGTTGAAGCCCAGCAAGTCTGAATCTCTTGAGCTCTGCTTCTGTTTTCCTCTGGGACACCAGATAAGTGACTCTGATCTCTTGGTACATTGTTCTCCCCATTGTGAAGATAAGAAAAAATTGTCTTAGGAAAGTAGTGAAGGATTAAGCACTTTGAGGTTATTGAATGAAGCCACTGTGGTTGATTTGAATCATCCATTTGGGGCAGATGGCAGCTGATTTCAAAATGACTGATACTGTTAGATGTGCCTGAAGAAGGAGAAAAGCACATTTGCCTGCTAATGTAGCTTTACATTAGTGATTAGAGCACTTGATGAAAATAGTCTACAGACAGAGACCAAAAAATTGTGATCTAAAGAAAGGCTTAAAAAATAGGGATGCTATGTACTTACAGGGTCATTGAAGGAAAAGGAGGAAGGCTAGCACTTCAATGCATTGAACAGCTTAGATGTATGCTAATGCAAGAGTGAGCAAACAGGAAGAACTAGGTATCTTAACACAATATTTAATAGCTGTAACAGACACATGCTGTGATAACTCATGAGACTGGAATGTTAATAGAAAAGAATAAAACTAACTCTATATGGTTAACTGAAGCTTTCCTTTTATGACTACATGGTCTGAAATGCATCTTGAAGAAAGAGATGACCGAATTGCAGATCTCTTAATAATGCTACAAGGTAATGAACACAAGCATAGAAAATCAAGAAGGGCAGTATTTATTAAAAAAAAAAAAAAAAAAAAAAATAGTTTCCTGAGACTCAGGGTATGGTGGTAAATGAAGAATGACATCTATGCAGAGGCAGAGCTGGAGAGAAGTGTAGAGGAACACAACCTACTCAGCTGGCACAGATTTTGGTGCAGAGGTGGGTAACTTTTTGGAGAGGAGAGGAGGTTGTTTCAGAAGTGATTCCCTCCAAAAGGGAGGGAATGGGAGGAGCTGGCTGGTCCTCTGAAAGCTGGAGGGAGTGTAAACAGGAATAGTTATGAAATGATGTGATGATACTTGGGAAAAAGTGACAGTATCAAATTGTTTAACATTGACTTCAAGAAGGAAACCTTCAAAAAATATGAAGAGCTAATAGCTGAGACCTCATTCGAAGGACTCTTATGGTAGGGGAAGAATTAGACAGAGCTGTCATTTCCTTAAATAATTTATATTAAGGGGACATATATTATTAATTGTTATTAAGGGCACATATATTATTAATTGATATTAAGGGCACATGTATAAGTTATCACCTTTCAGAGAAAGGCTCCCAGGTGACTGAAATGGTGGAATCAGAAGCTCTCCATTTGCTTCAAAGGAAGGATGCAAAACAGTTTGTTTTATCCAGCACTAACAGTGTGGCAAAGACTCAAAGTGAGAAAAGGCTATCAAGGACATAAAGGGCAATAAAAGTTATTCTGTAAGAGTTGGGGCCTCTGGGAATGCTCAGTGGAAAAAGCTTAGCAAATAAAGCTAAGAAATCAGAGGGGTTTTGTTGTAATGTGTTTGTTGGGTTTTTGTTGGTTTTTTTTCCTCCCTCTAGATATCTAACATAATTCTTGCCAAAATCAGAGGAGAAAGGGATAGGTTTTGGGCTGGAATAGAGGGAGAATGGGTTGGCTGGGTAAGGTAAAGCATGCCCTGGAGCAGTTCTGCCTTTGAGAATCTGGCTCACAGACAGGCGAAGTTCAGAAGACTGGGAAGAGAGCAAGCACAGGAAAAAAAAGAAAAGCTGAGCAATTATAGATGTATTGGCTTCACTTGAGTAAGGTTAAAACAATAAAGTGAACCACTTCAAAGTAACTAGGAGTGTGTGTGGGGAAGAGAACAGTCAGCAGTCCTGAAAAACTGCATCAAACCAAAATTAATTCTGTTTTAGTGGTAGCTGGAGGGCTATTGAAAAAGCTTCAGATAGCTGCCATGTATCTTGACTGTCACTTGTGGCATTTTTACAAGTAAGCTGGAGATACATGCTTGAGATAAAATCACAAAATGGTGAGTGCCAGATTTTTCAGAAAAAAAAGAAGACGTTAATCATAGATATTGATGACTGATAAGGAAACTTGAAAGATTCATCAGGGGTATATCCCATCCTGAGTCTGGTATTCAATATTTACTTCTACATCTTGGCTGACAGAATAAAGAACACACTTAGTACATCTGTGAATGGCACCATGCTGGCAAGAGCTACAAGCACACTGAAAGATAGGATTGGAATTGACTAGTTGGAGAAATAGTCTGAAAGAATTTGGATGCAGTTCAGCAAGGACAAATGAAAGCTTTGCATTGCCTGATAAGGCATCTGGCTTTGCCAGAAAGGATCTGCCAAAATGGAACATATTCTGGAAAGCCATCCTCTGTGTGCTGGTGGTGCATAAGGATGTTGCTTTAAATTACTCCTGGGTGAATTCTTATGCATCATGTGCATTGTCTGCAAGGAAATTTGTATGTCCCTTATGCCCTGGTCAGCTTTGGTAAGGCCTCAGCTGAAAACCATGGCCCATTTTGGGGATCCATTCAGAATGGGCTGAACTAGCTGGGAAGTCCACTGGAGAGCACCAAGGGTGATGCTCCTTCTGATGGATTAATGCCTAAGAAGTGACTGAAGAAATGGGAATTACTTACCTTTGGGAAGGCTAGTGTAAGGCATAAATGCCTTCAGTAGGTAGTGAACTTGGAATCACAGAATCCCTGCACAGAACAGCCCCAAGAACCACGCCTCATGCCTGAGAACATTGTCCAATATTTCCTATACTCTGTCAGGCTTGCTGCTGTGACCACTTCCCTGTGGAGCTGTTGCAGTGCCCAACCACTCTCTGGGTGAAGAACCTTTTCCTGATATCCCACCTAAACTTCCCCTGACACAGCTTCAGGCCATTCCCTCTGGTCCTCTCACTGGGCACCCAGAGGGGAGAGCAGTGCTTGCCTCTCTTCTTCCCCTCCTAAGGAAGTTGTGGAAAGCAATGGGGTCTTCCCTCAGTCTACTCCTCTCCAGGCTGGACAGACCAAGTGACCTCAGGTGTTCCTCATATGGCTTCTCCTCAACTCCCTTCACCAATCACATGATCCTCCTTTGGTCTCTTTCAAATAGCTTTCATACCTTTTGTACACTGTGGTGCCCAAAACTGCACACAGGACTCAAGGTGAGGCTGCACCAATGCAGAGCAGAGTGGGACAATCTCCCTCAACTGTCTGTACTCTGTATCCTTGGCAAGTAGCACAAGGAACTTAGGGGAAACTGAAAACCACCTTTGACCCTTCACCCTCTGGGAGAAGACAAAACCTCTTGAAATTGAAGGAACAAGTTTTATGTTAGATAATGCAGGGGAAAACTGCCCTAGGGGAAGCAGACTTCAGTCCTGGAATAGAGAGTTGAAGAACAGGTGTTGCTGGAGCTTTTTTTTGTCATTTTTGGGGAAGAGAGGCAAGACCCTGCTTTGAGGTAAAGGACAAATTTGATGACCTTTTGATATCTTTCCAGTAATTTTTGATTTCATGACAGCTGCGGGGATGATGTCCCATCAGTGGGATGATGATCAGAAATGCACCTGTGCTTGGAGAAGGGCACCCACCAACTGTAGGCTGATAGCAAAACCTGCAGAGACTTTAGGGGGAAGAGAAGGAGCAGGGCAGGACAAGTGAGCACCACTAGTTAAGTGGGAACTCCTACCCAGAAGGTGAACAACCTGACCAGGCACTGGCATTGCAGTGAGTGGTGGGTAGAGGAGATTTGTTCCATGGTGTTAAGAGTGCCATGGTACCAGTGCACAGTGCTGCTCCATCAGTGTCACCAGCCACCCCAGGGCCCTGGCATGGGGCTCTTGGCACAGACCTCCGATTCACTGTGTCACTCCCTTCTAGCAGCTCTGCTTGCACTTTCTGATGCTCCATTCACATCTGTATTGACTCATCTTACCCTCAAGCCTGATTGATGTGTTTCCTTTTATTTCCAGAGGAAGAGAGACAACTTCAAGCAAACAACCGGGATTTTAATCTGCAGTTTGAATATGCTGTAAGTAACCAGTGTATGTTGTTTCATGCAGATGTAGTCACAGATGTAGCTGCATCTGTTTCATGTCTCAAGTGTTGGTTCAAAGGGGTGAACAGAACTGCATGCCAGCTATGGCTCTGTAAACCAGGCAAACACAAGCCAGATGAACCATCAGAGGTGGATTGCTGCTAACTCAGCCTGAAAAATGGGCAATTGAAGTAGATGCAGTTCTGGAAACGCATGCCATAGTGACTTTGCACACTTACAGAAAATTATTTGTGAGTCACAACGTTTGCAGGATCAGGCTCCAAGGCCTTTCAATAACGGAACCTGGGGGCAGTTTTCTTTGGAAATTTGTCTCCATTTAAAGTAAAACATGAAAGGAAATGTGTCAGTTCCTCAGCTTTGTCAGTGAAATCATCTCTGTCAGGAAGGTTTTGAATCTAGCCCTTGTGGCTTTCTGCCAGTTTTTCTGCCAGATTTTTAACAGCCTACAGGTTCACTCTGTGCCATGAAATATGTAATTCCAAAGTGCACCTTGACACAGGCTGGCTGTGTCCCAGGTCTGCCAGGCTAATTTGCCAGGGAGCCCATTGGGCAACTTCATTTCCAAAGTTTGTGGATCATTTTCTGATACTGTGTGCAGAGGAGGGCTAGCTCAGCCTCTAGGTCAGTCCTGCCTGCCTGTAGCAACATCCCCTCTGTAAGGCCACCCTGAAGCTGCATTCTTTCAAAGTGTTTTGAGCTGTCAGTTAATACCAAAGTGAATTTTGTGAATTTTTGTCCTTTGAATATCTGAATTCCAGTGGTGAAATTAATAATTCAGTTACTCAGGAGCTCTTTGAATCATGTTTTGGTTTAGGAACATCACAAGTATTTTCTCGGCAAGAAGTGAAAAAACTAAGCATTTTAGAACACAATAATTTCTTGTGATGGGGACAGTATGACTTGCCAGCAGGTTTGACTTATGGCAACGCGGTGGTTTTCAGTGGCTGCTTTTCAGCCATGAACATGGGTTAGAGCTGCTAAGGTTCAGAGCTGCTGCATATGTCCTGAATATTAAATGCATGGCAGTTAATATCTGTGAAGTACTATGCAGCATGAATGTCTTATCAAGATTGGGGATTTGAGACTGGGGAAGTGAATTTGATTTGCACACAACCTGTTCATAGTGTGCTGCGATGGTTATTGCTACTACATATGGTTTCATAATCTTCCACTGAATGATTGCAATTTGCAGTAGTGGGACAAGAAAGTAGGAGGGAGATGGGCCTTACATCAGGGTAGAAGGAACAAGAAACTCTTCTGGTTCTGTGCCTAATTATGTGAAAAGACATTCAGAAAACTGACTTTGCATGACACTGCTTCCCAGCTGATTGCTTGATTGTGCCCAAGGATTTGCAAATAGCCACAATTAAGTAGACAACTTTGAGAACACTTCAGAATTTCGGTAAGTCTGTGATTAGGTGATAAAGTGAAGGCAGCCAAAAAGCCAGCTAAGTATAATATGTTAAAACTTGGTAGTGAGTTTTGATAATCATGTCCCTTATTTTAGTCAGCTATGGCTTTTGATTTCTGGACTCCTGTGTAGACTGAGGCTTAGGAAATCCAAGAAACTGCCCAAAAAGAACCAGACCTTGAAGTGGTGAGTGGATGGTGAGGTACTAACAGACTTTAGGAATTGGTGCAAGAACTGCCCTAACTGTACAGGGCTGCACATCATGTCCTGGACTGCTTATCTCCAATAAGTCCTCACAAAAATTAAATTTATTAACTCTACATTACTATAGTGTATGAAAAGAACTAACCTTGCCCATAACTTACTTCACATCCTATGCTGTAGATTGCTGATGAATATGGAAATGACAAAAAGAGAGATAGTCTCCTGGCATCCTGCCATAACATATCTATGATGCTCCTGAAAATTAGCTCTCCCAGGCAAGGGTTAAATTTGAGTACTTTCCTCACATTCCGATTTGTGTCGTCATGGTGGGGTTGCTCTGATAAGCACTAGGATGTGGTTCAGGGGAAAAGGACCACGAAGGACCACTTTTCCAAAGGAAACCCACCAATATAACAAAGCTTTAAAAGTATTTTAGACAGTGAAAGTCACAGGACTGAGTTTCAGATTTCTTGGTAACTAAAGGCTACATTAGCCATAAAACTTATGGAACAGGTTCTTGCAACAAAGCTAGGTGAGGCGGTAAATGTTTCTTTAGGGTGAGGCAGTTGCTGAGAAAGACCAATAAGGAAAAAGAAAGGGAAATGCAAGCCTAGGTGTTGTGTATTGACTTACTGCTGTGGCCAGGCTTGCTGTCCCACCTGCTGTGAAGATCTGAGCCTTTCACTAAACGGACAGTTTCTATTATGTGGGCAAATAGTACAAAGGTACAGAAGTGTTTTGTCCTTCTTTATCACAGCAAGAACAGGGAGGTGGGAAACTACAACCAGAGGTGGGTGTGTTGCCCTTGAATATCCCTATTCCTGGTGGGACTTTGTCCCTTACCGGTGCAAAGTCTGGAGGATATCTGTGAAAGGAGAAGAGACGAGCAGATAAAGACTTGAAAACCCTATTGTGTGTGGAGTCTGACATCAGCTCTGGCAGCTGCTGGAAGGTGGCCCTCAGCATGAAGCAAGACTCCCGAATTGCTCAAACCAGCTTCGCAGGAACCCAGTGCTGCACCGTGGAAAGCTGTATCTGACAGTGCATGCAAGGGCATGTCCACCTCCATCACTCTACTTGCAGGAGACTTCGGAAGGCAAATTCACTCCCTGAGCTGTTAAAAAATACAGGAGATGCAAAACTGCAGTATGTCCCTGCCTGCCACACTTCTCCAGCCATGAAGCCTCAATAGTTAAGCAGAAGGCTTAGAAAAATAATAATAATAAAAAAAAACTTTAAAAGAAGGTGCTGTGCAGTTAACTGGAAGGGCTGAGTGTGAAGGTGTGTACACTGCCCACCAGATCACAAAATTAGTTAGGAATTACTCAGAAACCAAGTGTGAATGAGTGGCATGAAAAGGCACTTAGAGCAGCAGAGAGAAGGTCTCAATATAGGTCAGTAAAAGTGAAAAGTCAAGTCCTAATCCTGTGTTTATTCACAATGTAGACAGAAAGATCCTTCCTGAATTCAGAAAGAGATTTGTTCTGTGTAAAGACTGAAATAAAGTGGAAAGCAGGGTGGCAGATGTAGTATAGCAAGGTTTAAGGCCTTTAATAAACTTAATCTATCTGCACTCACCCCAACACAGCTACAGAGGGGACAGCCTCTGTGTGTCCACCACGATGGGCTCCCCATCAACACTCTGGAGAGGAAAATCTGTTCTGAAGGCTTTTAATATTTTCTCTGATCCTAGTTCCTTTTTTAATTCTTTGCTTTCACATTGGAATTTAGCACAGCTGCACTGGGACGTCATGAAGAGCTGCGAAAACAACTTTGAATTGGCTTTCAGACAATAGGAAAGGAAATGCAAGGCCTGTGAGTCAATGACAAATTTCATCTTGGATCAGGACCCAGGGTCAAGCCAGCATTCTTTCATCAGGACCAGCAGCAAAGGGGCTGCTTGGACTCGGGTCACCTGATGAAGTCTCTAGTGAAATAGGAGGGATGTATATAACTTCCTATAGCCAATACACATTGCCTGGGCTGGATCAGCAGCTGGGTTCTTATCTGTTTGAAATTTAATTGGAGAGCAGGGAGCTCTGGTAGTGGCTCCACCTCCTGTGCTTGCACTCTTTGATCTCAGATGGCTGCCTGGTGTGTGATCCTCAAGGACCTTATCGGCATGGTCAGGGTTGTGGCACCAGCTGCTCTCTCTTCCTGACTCAACCTGCAAATGTTTCCCAGTGTCTCATGCTCAAGGTGGAAAGGAGTGTGGTCTGATGAAGTGAAAAGTGGTTTCAGTGGTCCCTGAAGGAATAGGTACAGCAGCAACCTGCACTGCTCTTTAGTAAGATGTAAGTTGTATCCATCCAAAGAGCAATGAGGAGTCAGGGAGCAGCCTGAGTGGGGCTGTAGTTTGAGAGGAGGCAAGCTGGAAGTGGAGGTGATCCAAGCTCAGGCAGAGCTCTCACTGACCAGGGTGCAGTTCTGCAGCATCTGGCTGATACGGACAGGGCAGGATGCTGGCGATGGGGTCCATCCTGACCATTCCAGACAAGGTGAGGTGATAAACTAGGTCCAAGGCCCTCTTAGGGAGCCCAGGCAGAGGTGGGCTGAATACAAATCTATACCAAAGGTCCATGGTCCATCAAGGATGTAGAACTGGATAGATATATCTGGGAAACTAGGACAGATGACAGTCTGGAGATGGGGACTTCTACAACACAGCTCAGGTGAGGATAGAAGACTCATGGCTGAGCTTAAGTGAACTCCTGAGTTCTGGATAGGGGTTGTGGCTGGAGACTCCAGGTGAGGTCAAGGTCCTCAAGGCATATCAGGCCCCTGAGAAGTACGTAAATATTGAGCTGTGCCAGATGTGGTCTTCAGTGAAGTCCATAGACTCCTTTGGATCAAGTCTTCCACTCTTCATCAAAGTCAAATGGAGAGAATAGTCTGACTGGGCTGGTTGGGAATCTTGTTGTGTGAGACCATAATGAAAACAGTGGTTTGGAGTTTGTCTCCTTTGCACCACTCAGCGGTGCTCTGCCCTCTCCTTCTTTACTGCTTCCTGCCAGGCAGCATCTTCAGGTACTGAGCCAAGCCAGGAGAGAGCACAGTGCTGTCAAACGGGGTGCCTAAGAGACAAGACTTCTAGGTTATTGTGCTTGGCTTGTCTGTGAGCAATGAGGATGTCAAGCCATGTGTTGTCCTTTGCACCACCATGACAAGGACACTCACCAAACTGATGATTAACTGCTCAGTAATGGGGTGACACCAGACTGAAGGAACAACATAGAAAAACACAATCAGTGATCATGCTTTCTTACAGATTTTCACAGCATACCCAACATGTGATGAGATCCTGGAACTCTCTTCATTAGTCCTGTCAAGAGAGGGTCAAGGGGTTGCATATGTAAGACATTCCTATCCTTTTTCTGTTCAAAGGAAGGAAAAATGGGGGGGGGGGGGGGGGGGGGAGGAGGGGGAGGGAAGGAAAAGGGAGGAAAAGAGAACTGTGCTTTGGAAATTGGCAATTTTATTTCTACTCCTGAGAGTTTACTTTCTTACAGGGACTTTTACAGGGACCAGATTAACACCACCACATCCTTTTGGCTTTTATCAGTCTTCTGTTGAGTTAGGGCTGCTGCCTACCATCAGGAATAAGTCAGTGAACTTGGGAGTCTTAAAACTGGTCTAGTCTGATTGTTCTGTACTCCCTGTGAAAACAAAATCTTGGTGGTATCATATGTATTACATATTACATGTAATATTACATGAGTTATTTAAACTGTTACATGAGTTTATCAAAAATTTTCATGAGCACATTCACAGCCCTGTGGTCACATTTCTGCTTATGGCTTCTGTGTTCTCTGCAATGGCACTGTTGCAGTTAAACAGAGGGCCATGGAATTGTGCTTCTGCCACCTCCTTGGTGAGGCTTTACCAATACACCTGGAAAAGACATTTCTGCTGCTCAGCTGTTCTATTGGTCTGTGGTACACAAGTACCAGCAGAATTGCCAAGTGTTGTGGCATAACACATGCCTGTGGGGTCACGAAATTCTTGCTAAAATTTTCTTATGGCTAGGTTGTCCAGATGGGAGCTATTATGTTACTGAGCCGGGGTTTAAATTCAGAGGGTCAACACCTTACCCTTTAGTGCCTGTAATCTAGCCACAAAAGCATCAGTGTTTCTTATTTCTAGTGACTTTTATGGCAAGGAGATGATTTGTTTGCTCAGCGATCTAAGGTAGGAGCCATCTGCTGAGTTTTGCTTGCTGTTGGACGTCACAGGCGGGCTTCTGAAAACACCCCCAAAATAACAGCTCATCTGCCAGATCTGGACTTGTGTAACTGTGGAGAGATGAGCACTATTCTTAGGGACAGCATTTTGGTGGAGTCACACCTCCAGGAGGTGTGAATCTAGCCCCTGAAAAGAGCAGATGAGAATAATCCCTCACCCACAGACAACATTGCTCTGGTGTCAAGTTTTGCATCTGGAGAGCTTCAGGCTGACTGTGGGTAACCATGCTCAGACCTGCTCATTTAGGACACAGGTGCATGCAGGGACTGCCTTTGGACAACCAGAGGTCTAGGGCAGGTCAGAGAGTAAATGTAAAGCCCCCCATCCCCATATTTGTGCTTAGCCCATATAACTGTTCTTAGCTGTTGGTTTTCATGAATCTATAAGAAAACCAGAAGTTTCAGTAAGGCCTCTCAATACCTAATTGCGATTACAAAGATTATTCCTCTCCATGACTTTTTTTTATGGAAGTCTCCCCCACTGTAGGCAGAGTGTGTGGACTGTGAGGCAGATGATGTGTTAGAAGCATTGCTTGTGAAATGATGGCTGCATGTGGATTACTTAATGCAGTGATGCAGCCTCCCATAGCACCCCTCCCACCCCAGAGTCAGGTTCTGGTCCAGCTCTAAAGAGTGACAGGGTCTGATGATGTTAAGCATCACAGATTAGGATAAGATCAAGAGCAGAGGCCAACTGAGATTTCCCTGCAGCTGGCCAAGAGCCTGAGCTGTCAAAGCACACAGCCCTGTAGCATTGCCTGAAAATATAATCTATACCTGAAAGAATTGGATTTGCTCAGGCTGGAGAAGAGAAGGCTTCAGGGTGACGTAGCCATGGCCTTCCAGTACCTGAAGGGAGCCCATAAGAATGATGGAGAGGGATTTTTACAAGGGCATGTAGCAGACAGGGCAAAGGAATGGCTTCAAACTGAGGATGGGTTTAGATTAGATACTGGGAAGAAATTCTTTATTGTGAGGGTGTTGAGGCACTGGCACAAGTTGCCCAGAGAAGCTGTGGGTGCCCGACCCCTGGAAGTGTTCAAAGCCAGGCTGGAGCAATCTGGTCTGGTAAGAGGTGTCCCTGCTCATGGCAGGAATAGTTGTAATGAGGTGATCTTTAAAATCCCTTCCAATCAAAATCATTCTATATTTCTAAGACTATATGATATCTGACATAGTGCTTCAGCTGTATCTGTGATATGGAAATGCAGAGTTTTGATTTGGAAAGGCTAAAGTTTTCTCTAGTTTGTCATTATAATTTGCTATTGATATGCCTTTATCCTCTGAGGTCCATGAACAAGTTATGTGTTGAATTAGAAATATTTATAGTAGTTACAGGTTCTTTTTTTTCCCCTGGTGATTAATTTTAATTATAGATTCTAGAATAATGAGAAGATCCATGATAATACCCCCCGTCCTTATCCTCAGGTCTAAAGTTCCCTAGTGTCCCAGAAGACACTGTGTGCCCAACAATATCATGATCCTGAACAACTATGGAGAAAACACTGGTTATCCAGATTCCTGCAGTTAAGCATTTGGAAACTGTTATGTCTGGGGTTTTTACCATGCCTAATGGCAATAGGAAACAAAATGAATGGCTGTAGTTCATTAAATTTTTCTGACGTAATTAATGGACAGAAATAGAAGGCAGGAATTGAAATAAACCACTCCCATTCTTTTTTTTTTCCCTTCTGAGATTTTTGCAGGCAAAGATCTATAAACTTTATCTGAGTGTTTACTGAGTAGTTTTTCCCATGTTATATGCAACCCTCTGAAATCTGTTGACGCACAAAGGTCAAGTCCCCTGCATTTACTTTTTCCTGCAGCAATAATCTTCTGTTTTTTCTTTAAGTAATTGGTCATAATACTTGTCCTCAGAATAGTGGACAGATTTCTTTATTTAGATCCAGCTTTTATTAAAAAAATCTGCTAGACTGTGTGCCTGATAGATACAGCCTTGTCAAGCAATTTAGTTCCTAGCATGCTGGGTTTGCAGAGGATGCTGTTTTTCCATTGCTTCTGTTTCAGCAGTGTCCATGGAGCCTGTCCATGACACATACCCCATGGTTAAGGATTTTGAAATAAACCAAATTTAGCTACACATCATGGCATAGACAGAGTTAGCCACACTTGCAGGTAGCTGCCTGATACCAGGAGACAGGCTGTATGTATTGTATGTATGATGATCACTGATAAATATATTTTCTTGCTGGAGTGCAATCAACAGGAGGATTTGGCTAGGTCTTCTATGAAGGCTGTTTTAATTTCTGCCCTTTTAGAGACTTACTCATTTGGCTTGTCCAAGGGATAAAACTTGATTTTAATGCTGAAGAACATACGCTGTACTGTGTGTCTGAAGGTAGAGAAATCCAGTAACTGCCTAAGATGGAACAGCTTCCCCCACACATACCTTTCAGTGGTAACCTGAAATAATTGGTTTAGTGCTGGAAACATGCTGATGCATGTCAGTGTTGATGTTGAGATCCCGGATTAATGCATGGATAAGAAGTGGGCTGTGATTCATACTTAGCAGCTTCTGTCCTCCCACCAGCTTAACAATATCTAAAGGCTATTACAAATACTGCAATCACCATTTTCTCTGCTGTTGAACCAGCATATTTATTATGGAATTCAGGTGTGCTTTATATCTGCCTCCTTGTGCTGTCATACCTGAGGTTCCTTGGAAAGGGGTTAATGGGCATTGTCTGGAGAGCAGAAGCTCTCCAGGGGGAAAAATTTAAGATGTTCTCACAACAAGGGGGATTCATCCTTCCAGAACTAAGCCTGGACCAGGGCCTGTTAAACATCATATGAAAAGATAGTCTAGCACACCTGAAAACTAAAGAACAGCAGCAGCTGGTGGTTCAGTAGGATGCATTGAGCCTGTCTGGCTGGTAGCATGTATTGGACCAAACAACTCTTATCTTTGGAGAAAGAAAATAGCCCATTCTGCAATTTCAAGCTTAGGTCTTTCTGTGGTTTGCAAAAGACAGACTGGGGAGCAACCACTTCTTGTGGCTGAGGGGCCATTTGAAATTAGAAAAGGAAACTGGAAATAGGGAACAGAGTTGCAGCTCACTTACTGAAATAGTGAATTCTTGTATTAGTGACTGTTTGCACAATGCCACATCCTAGTGATTTTTGTGAATAGAAACAAGCCACCCGTTGAAGCTGCTGAGTTGAAAGTTTGCTGAATAAACTCAAAATTATAATAATAATAATAATGTCATATTCTGCTCTTGGGAGGACATATGCCTCCAGTAGGGTTGTCCAGCCAGGATTTTTCAAAGCATCAGACAAGCTACAGATGGTGGACCTGGCACGTGTTTTCCAGCCCTGCTTTATAGATGCTAACAGCAAAATGGTTGTATTCTGGTTACAATTCTCAATTTTCTCTGTGCAGTGTGTAAGTAAGAAGACTAAATAAAGGGAAGATGTTGTGAACAACAACATACAAGTTTATCTACCTGCAGCAGCACTTGCATTAGCCAAGCATCATGTTTTCACCCATTCTAAGAGGAATTCTCTGTTTATCCATACTTGGCATGATTGTGTGGGGGGAAAAGGAAACGCTTTTTGAGCTGCTGTAGGGAACAATGCTATTGCTAAATATAAGCAAGTAAGACACAGTTGAAATTTGTTGTGCTATAATTTTGTTTCCTGTTTTACCAATTCTACTTATTTTCATTTTTTTTCCCTACAGAACAATTCAATTAAAACATCGAAATACAATTTCTTCACTTTCCTGCCTCTCAACCTGTTTGAGCAGTTTCAGCGAATAGCCAATGCTTACTTCCTTTTCTTGCTGATTTTGCAGGTATGAAATCACTCTGCTGTTTCCAGCAGATTGTTCTCTGTTATCAAAGCCAGTCTATGTTTGACAGGTGTAATGAAGTGCAAGCTATATTCCTGGTGTGAATTAGCATCTTAGTAAAATCTTACAGTACATAGAAAGTAGGGCAGAAAAAAGCAATTTTCTCTTTTACCTTTGGATATGAGCGTTTGAACTAAATGAAGGAAAAAGTTAATTAGTTTTCAACAAACTGTGCAACATTTTCATGCCCTGCCCTACTATCCCTTTGTGTCTACTTTTGAATGCTCCTGGCTGTCCTCAGACTTGCATTACTTATTCATCCTGTACTATAAAGCCAAGTTGTCTCTTACCCATAGATTTTAGGGTGAATTCCACAGGCAGTCACAAAGGAAAACAGCAAGATGGATGCCACCTTTGTAACCTGTGGTGTTTCCCTGGGAGGGAAGCAGTTAACATCAGGAAGGCTTAAGGTTGTGGCTAATTTGCATAAAGCTGGATATTGCTGCTCCCTTTTCCAGGGTGAGGAAGGTGTCCAGCAGGGAGTGTGCCAGACACTGACAGCACTGTTGAGCCCTGTGAATTGCAATGGCATTATGTTGCACTTTGCTCATCACTGTTGCTAATGATACCCTGAAAGCTAAACACACTGGATAAATTGATATCAGGATTTCTGCCCCTTTGCACCTTGCCGTGTACTCTGCCATTTTTGTGTCGTATTAGAATATATGTTATCAAAAGAAGTGTGTAATTTTGATCATGGTTCAAGCTTAATGTTTTAAAGTTAATCATTTCACTGCACAAAAAGTTGCAAAATAACCCATTTCAAATGCTTTTTTAATATAATTTCAGCTCAAAAAAGCATAGGTGAAATGTGGTTAAGCCTTCAGCAAACCACATATGATCTTTTTTGCTTATTTACAGGGAATGAATTTTTGAAATTACAGTGCATCTATATTTTTTAAGAGAAGGTTTCTTTTTAGCTGAGCTGAGAGCACAGTTCCTATGTTGTTGTACTGCACTCTAGCTGTTTGTCTGTCAAATTCATGGGATTTCAAAGTATTTGCCTTAAATTATTCCACTGTGTGTTTAGCTAGGCCATCTAGGGTTGGCTATATATAAAAGCACACAGCCTTTTCTTTACATCAAGGTAGCCTAAAGAGGGCAGGCATTAGTCTACATATTCCTCACTCCATCCCTGTGGGACTATTCCTGCATCAAGTGTGGATGTGATGGGCAGGCTGTGGGGATTCTGTCTCCCCCTCCTTTGGCACAGACCCTCAGGACATGCATTTTCCAAGGCAGATGAGAAGGAAGCAGTTGCATCCTGTACAGCTGAGCAGGGCTATGGTGCCTGTAGGATCTAGGCTATGACAGATATCAACTTCAGAACGCACGTGGCATTGTCACTTCCCAGATCCAAACTGAGGGACACATGAATGCTCTTTTCACATTGCTTCCATCCCTGGTGCTGCACTTCTAGAGGAAGGGGAGAATTGTGTGGGAATGAGACATCTCCCTCGGCATGACTGATGGCCTAAGAGAATCACCCTCAATGCTTTGGTCCTCTCACTGTAAAAGATGCAGGAAACAAAGATGGCTGTGCTGCTCTTGGGAGAGCAAGGTCAGCCCTGGCAACAGCTTGCATTGTCCGTTGATGCAAAATTTACTTCATGAGAAGTTACTGAAACAAAGAACAGAAGCTTTTGAGGGCTCTGCACAGCTGGTTTTGCTCAGATAGCTCTTGAGTCCCTCACAGGGGGCTTGCCCATGTCAGTACTTCCAAAGAAATATCCTGGGGATTTGGCAATCCTAATTCTGCAAACAACAATAAAGAGCAACCCACTACACTTTCTGACAGCTTCATTTTTGTAACTTAAATTATAGCTTGCTTTGTAAGGAAAACATAGGTTCCCTGGCTCTCCCACCTTTTAAGGGGGTGGAGGGTCACATATCAGGGATGGAGCTACATTTCTGTATTTATTCTATATTCAGATATCATAGAAAAATGTTGTCTGCAGCTTGGTTAGGAAGCAGTGGCTTTCTGAACTGGCAAGAAATGTTTTAACTCAGATCTTTTCTTCCTACAGCTGATTCCGCAGATTTCCTCACTGGCCTGGTTTACAACAGTGGTGCCCCTGGTGCTTGTGCTAGCTGTATCAGGAGTCAAGGATGCTATTGATGATTTTGTAAGAACTGTATTTCTGACCTGTACTTTGGAGTTGGCCTGTGATTCTTCAGCAGAGTAACTGAAAGAAACTGCATAAAAAAACTGGTGGCAAGTAATCAGATGGGGTCAGAAAATTAAGTCCCTAAAATCTATAGTTTGTTACTGAAACAGGAGCTAGAATTTCCAAATTGATGACCAGCTCAGCAGCTCCATTGACTTTCTCTGAAACTGCTCAGCATGTCTGAAAATGTGATCACTCATAGATATGTCTGGATGCAGGCACAGAAATATTTTCTTAGATTTCCAATTTGGAGAACTTATCCTCTATCATCTTGTAAAATTTAGGTGGAAAAACAATTTGGTAGGAAGCAAGTGCTCAACCCATTTATGATTTTTCAAACTTGCTCTGATTTGGCCAAAGTCTGCTGCCATCAGAGCTAATGGTCATAATCCCAATTGACTTCACAGAGTGATAGTAGAGCTGAGTTTGGCATCTGATTTTCTCTCATTATTAAAATGATTTTGATGTTCAATGGAGCAATGCCAAAATATCAGTGGCTACTTTCCATATGAGAGCAGAGGAATGAATTCTCTGGTGTTTACAGACTGAGGTGGGTGGGAGCAATGCCAGCTGAGTCAGAGCTGTGCTGAAGTGAGATGCAAGGCTCTACCTTCCTTCTTCTCTCCAAGAGCAAGCCCAGTGCTGCCTGTTGCCCTTTGCAGTCTGGTTATGCTCTGTGTCACTGCCATAAACATGTGCTGGACACTGACTCAGTTGTGACCCTAATCTGCCTGACCCATACAGCCACCTGTGTGGAAACCTAAAATGTTAATAAACTGCCTATGGCTCCTGTGTTTGGTTTCCTGGAAATGCCTTTTAACTTTCTGATCCAATTTACAGAATCGACACAAAAGTGACAAACATGTCAACAACCGTCCAGTCCAGGTCCTGATCAATGGCATGTAAGTCCTTTTTCCTGTAGTTCTCACAGGGAAAAGCATTTTATTAGTAATTTTTTTTTTCTTTGTGTGTGTGTGTAATTCTCAAGGATCACTAAACAATTTAAAATTGAATTGTGTTTCATACCACTACTTCATCATGCAGTTTTGGACTGTCTGATTAAGAAACCCTAGACACAGTACCAGAATCTGTGCAGACATTATGGCTGTGACCTTATGCTGACAAAAATTAAACTCTTTCTCTGTTCATGGGTGTTTATGTATAAGTAAGAATTTCAGAGTCTTGTATTACTTTACACCTTATCCCACAAAAGCGACATGCAAAGCTATCTTCTGGATCCATTTATACTCAGAGCATTTATTTTGCATTAAGCAAAACTAGGCATTATGAACAAGATATTTCAACTTAAGAAGCTGGAATATCTCTTTCATACACTTCATTATACTTCAAGTGTGTGTAGCACTTCTGGCTTAAATGTACCCAAAATATTTCAGCTGCGTGCTTTGGACATTGTACTGTTCTTTCCTGCAGAAAAAATAGCAGAGGCGTTTTCATGGCAGACAGATGTGCTTGCAGCTCTGTGGAGTACAACTATGCATAGGACACAGCTGTAGACAGCTGGGAAGTATTTTGTGACTTTTTTCCACACTATAGATAGCAATACATTGTGCAAACTCCATCAGATGATCAAACAGTTAAAAATATAAGTGGAAACTGAAGAATAGGGACATAGTTTTTTGTGCTCTCTGCTAAGTAAACAAGTTTCTTAGTTTACTGTGTATTAGTTACTGTGTCTAGGAAACAAATTTTGACATAGAAATTTTATAATGTTTTGCCTTTTCCAAAACCTAGAAACCACAGATCGTGTCCAGCTCTAATCAACACTGAATAAGCAAGATTGAACTGAGTTCAAGCTTGAGCTCCCAGTCCTGCTTTGAGACTGATCTTTTCTCACCTCTAGAATTTTCATGTACAGCTATATTGGCTGTGTTGGTTCCTGCAGTTTAGCTGGCTTCCTGTGTGCACATCTGGCTTAATGCTGTGAACACCACTGCATACATGGCTCAGACAGGCAAGTGCATGGCCAAAGCACCTGCGCTGACCTTCCTGAAAGCTGGTTACTCTTGCCCTTAGTACCACTCAGAAAACCTTACACAATCTGCAGTTTTCCCAGATGAAGTCTCTCACACAAAGCAGAGAGGGTTTTTTGAGGCAATGTGGCCCTTTAAGAGAAGGAAGGAAGGGAGTAGGCACTGCAGAGACAAGGACAAGGATAGTATAGTGCACATGGACTGTACTACTATTGTGGGTCTTGGTCTCACCCAGCATTGGTCAGCCCAACCACTGCTTTTATTGATTTTTACTGCTTTTTTTTTTTGTACTGTGGTGATCCTGCAGCTTAGTCCATGATCAGGACACATCATGGCAGGCCCTGCTCTTAAGTCCTGATGGCAGCTATGGTCTGGCTCCAGGAGCCAAGTGGCATTTGCTATATGTGCTTACTTACCAGTGTTTTCTTTGCAGGTTAAAGGAGCAAAAATGGATGAATGTCCAAGTGGGGGATATAATAAAACTAGGAAACAACAACTTTGTGACAGTGAGTACTGTTTGTCTCTATCCTGATCACAGTTAATCTCTGCCACTCTTATCACTCATAAGAAAATCAGTCATAGTGATGATGTGGCAGTAGCCACAAGCAGCACTGATCTGCAATGCCTGCTGACTGTGTGAATTCATGCCAAGTCTGTCTGTCTCTCTGTGCTCAGGCTGATCTCCTGTTGCTGTCGAGCAGTGAGCCGCACAGCCTGACGTACATTGAGACAGCTGAGCTGGATGGGTAAGTGAGCCTGGCCCTGGTGTGCAATCACGGCCACCACAGCAAAGACACATTCCTAGTGACCTTGGGTGCTGCAGGCATAACTGCAATATCTTTGGTAGCAAGAGTTTCATAACATGTAGAATAAACTTTGGGTAGGTATCTTGAAAGTAACATCTTCTGGTGGGTACTTTTGCTTCTTGAGTGCAAATGTCATGTGAGGAGGGAACTTTACTTTTCAGTGACAGCTCTTCTGACACTGAGAGTTAGTAAGACACATGTCCCTGCAATATCCCCAGCAGAAGCTGCTGCTTTTCTCTCTAGTATTTTCCTTGAGAAAGATTATCTGGGTGAAATAATCATAATTAATAACTCTGGTAATCTGCTTTGGTCTGCTATAGAATAATATGAATGCAAGCACACAGAAAAGGCTTCCAAATGCTGCCCACCCCAGGACACAACTAGCTACAAAACCAGAGGGCTGCAACTTGTATAAATTGGAATAAACTGGAGCTGACTCACCTTTATGACGAAGTTTGCATTACCTTTTCTGTATTGTTCAGAACTAGCAACAGTCTGAGCAACTAAGCAAGACCAGAAGTTACAAGAAATTGTGTCTCTCCCAAGACCCTGCAGACAGCCCTCTGGACTTTCCCTATGTGATTTCTAGTGAAAATGGCTTTGTAGTTTTCATACACACAAGTGCCACTTCTACAAGGCCCTGAACAAATGCAGTATGCTTTTGACATTGTGTTTCCAGCTCCCCAGCTAGCTAGTCCCAGGACTGAAGCAATCTTTCAGATCAGAATACCATGGGAGAAAATACTCAGAGCTCTCATAAATGTAATACCTTGGATTTAAAATGTGTCATGAGTGACAGGGTAAAGAGTGCACTGCTCTGTGGTGAAATTAAGAAGACAGAGCCACTTCACCTTTGGTACTATGCTCAGAATTCCTCTGAATGCTTGTCTTTGCAACTCAAAGAGACAATCTACACTCTTTGGCCAGGTGAAACAGATGTACAGTATCATAGTCCATCAGATGTCTAAGGAAGAAGACTGTCCTCAAGAGCAGAAGTGATTTTCAAGGAAAGCTTTCAGTTCACATATGACTTTCAGGTCATGTTTTTTTCCTATATTGTTTGTCACAGTGAAACAAACCTGAAGGTGAAGCAGGCACTAACAGTCACTGCAGAGCTTGGAGAAGACCTTCAGAAGCTGACAGAGTTCAATGGTGAGTATAAATGGAAAATTCACTTTACAGGTGACTTACCCAAATTAGAGAGAGTGGTTGGGACTCTTCCTGCCGGCAAAACAGAACAGGCACTCTGCAGTCTGTACAACAGGTGTAAAGAAAAAGGTCCACCACATGTAAAGGAAAAGGTCCCTCTTTGCTTGCAAGTCTTGGTGCCACACATGGCTATGACCTGACACTGCATTGGTGGCAATTTTTGTGGATGGACACTTTTCATTTGTCTGTCTGCATAAGTCGAGACTAACCACCTTGAAAGCCAGCACAAGAGTTCACATAACTGCACAATGAAAGCTGTTTTCCCAAAATCATATGCTTAGTTCAAGATATTTACACACTGTTGTAGCAATGCTGATGCACTGATTACATTTATCTTCTGATCAGTGGCACTTCCCAGACCCCACACAGACCTGAGGAATAACTGTGCACAGAGGACAGGTGAGCCTTCCCAGCCTGAAGCCTCACCCTGAAGTTGTTCCTTTCCTCTCTCAATGCAACAATAAAGACTGAGTTTTAAAATATCTAAAGGCAAGCAGTATAGATGGGTATAATAGGAAATGTGTCCTTTCTTAGCACTGTTTTCTGTATCAAATACAAGATGGAATGGAATGGAATGGAATGGAATGGAATGGAATGGAATGGAATGGAATGGAATGGAATGGAATGGAATAGAATAGAATAGAATAGAATAGAATAGAATAGAATAGAATAGAATAGAATAGAATAGAATAGAATAGAATAGAATAGAATAGAATAGAATANTAGAATAGAATAGAATAGAATAGAATAGAATAGAATAGAATAGAATAGAATAGAATAGAATAGAATAGAATAGAATAGAATAGAATAGAATAGAAGGTATCTACAATGATCATCTAGTCCAATGGTCTGACCACCTCAGAGCTGACCAAAAGTTAAAGTATGTGTTTAAGGGCATTGTCCAAATACCTGTTAAACCTGACAGGCTGGGGGCCTGTCGGTGACCTCTCTAGGAAGCCTGTTCAAGTGAGTGGTCACCCTCTCAATAATGTTTCCTGAGAGGTCCAGTCTGAACCTCTTCTGATGCAACTTCAACCATTCCCATGTGTCCTGTCACTGGGTGCCAGAGAATACTTAGCAGCATATACAGAGGAAGGAGCTAGACCAGTCAAAACCAGAATTCTCCATGGTCACATATCATCTGTCTGTGGAGACAAGACGGGGGAACAGACCAAGTAGTGCTAGTCACGTTCTGCAGTGCCCTGCTGGCTTAGATATGAGGTCCAGATTACAGGAGGAGTTGTTATGGAAAGGGGTGGAATGAATGCTACTGCCCTTGGAACGCCTCAAGGACTGCAGGCTCTCAGGAAATACTTTTAGATATAGAGGGAATATAATTTTAGGAAAAAAAGAGTTTTTGAAATAAGTAGATGATTCCAGGACAAGTGGTGAGTAGTGGCAAAGAACATAACTGAGACTGTCTCTGATAGAGTTTCTTTTGCCTTCTTTGTTGCGGGTTTATGCAATAATATGTGTGGGTTTTGCCAAGTGTCAGCTCAGTACATCAGGATTTCTTTTGAAGTGATGGCTGAGGTTCTGAGTGTTTTTGGTCTTAAGAAATAGGCTTTTACATGTACAGTTAGATGCTTAATGTTAATAATTGGAGTGGCATGCCTCAATTATTTTCCTGAGCAGGCTGAAGTGTCTATAAATTTATAAGCAAAATCTTAATCTTAGATAATTTTTCAAGATGCTTGGTGTGATGGTTATCTAAAGGCACTGTGTTCTTGGAAGTGCTTAATTAAAAAACATTTAAATTAAAAAACATTTAAAATATTTTGGAAAATTGAGAATTTTGTTATTGGATATTTATTTATTTATTCTCTAAATCTCTATTTTACTTATGTTGTAAATAAAAGTGGCCTCTTCATAATACTTAAAATGAATAAAATGTTTCCCAAGATGATTTATATTTGACAGTGTACTGGGAAGAGTGCCTGGAATCAGACCCAGCCTTTCATTTCCCTTAGCAAACCTCAGTAGAAATATTTAAATATTTATGTAACTCTTTATCTAATTACTTTTTAAGACAGGAAGAGAGGACAGGGTTGTGCAGCTAATACAGGCACTCAGTGGAATGCTTAATGTGAGTTATGATGTTTGTTTGATGGTTCAGATAAGGAAGAAGCTTGCAAAACACTAGATTTCTTTGCTTGATTTGGGGAACTGGGAAATGAGAAAGGCAGCAATACTTTTCATTTACCCTCTGCTTATCACAGTTGACTTGGCAGTATTTAACCCTTTCAGATGAAATGTACTCCAGATACCTTATTGCTGTTGCTGGGTGAGGGGGCAGGAGGCATGGTGCCTGGCTGTGGTGCCTCCAGTTGCAGAGCTACTGGGCTTAATGCAGCTGCCCTGGAGGGATCTTTAGAGCTTCTCACTCTTTGTGGTCAGTCTCATTTGGATGAATCCCTTCTGATCTCACAATCAGTGTGTCAGAAGCCTAGCCCACCCACTTATGGGAAAGCAGATGTGGACACATGAGGGGCTCACAAGAGCACTGTCCCACAGCAGGCACAGTGTTCCTGGTGGGAGACCATACCCTGGTTTTGCTTTGTATTGTTTGAGGTTCCAGTGCAAAACCTCGGTTTCCTTTGTGCTTTTCAAGGTGTTTGTGAGGGAGGCAGTGAGATGGGTCTGGTTACTAGAGACTGTCAGAAACGATGGGGCACAGGTCTGGTCCTTGTTGGACTAACCAACCAGATGATAAAATAGAAGAGAAGCACAGTTGTTAGTATGAATTCTCATGCCACATGTGTCACTGAATTTCCTAATTATTCAGTCTTTCATGTCTAATGGTTTGTCTGCCCCAGATTAGAGTTGCTTTTTTGATAATTTGCATAATGTTTGATTTTAAATCTGTAGTGGTGAACACAATCATGACACTTGAAGCTGGACTTTTCTTCTGGACTTCTCTGGATTTTGTTTCTAGTCTCTTGAGCCTGGTGTGTAAATCTGAGAGCAGCTAGAAGAATAGTATTCTTTGCAAATGCTAATATTTTAGTAGGTATTTATAGCCTGTGATGAACATAACTGCTGTTTAAGTGAACAGACTGAACTCCTAGATTGCCTTTCAGTAAGGCATATTTGTATTTTCCAGTTCTCAATACATCTACAGGGCTCTGCTTTGAATCTTTAAATGTCAGGTGCAGCCGTTGATTTAAATAGTCATTTTTATACTGATGTATCTGAACACATTTTATTACAAGAAATAAATATAAAGCATGGCAATAGACACTCCAGTCACTTACAGTGTCAACTCAGTGGCCAAAGAAGGTAGTGGTATCTTTTTATGTGCTCCTGGGACATGAGTTATAAAACAGATGAAATTAAAAATCAGTGAACAAAGACACCTTAGTTAATTACTCTTCTGCAGCCTTTAGGCTATGATTATATTCACTTGGGCTTCTGCAATTTGAGAGAAAATGAAATAGGAAAGAAGGTGATGTCAGCACTTTTAGCTAAAGTTAGCCAGTGACATCCTACTGCTATGAATTTGCTGTGAATAGATTAAAAGTATGTTGCTGTTTCAACACTTCTTCTCACCCACATAGAAGCTGTGGAAACTTTGTTTTGTACTCTACCAATAAAAAATTGCCATGTTCAAAGAATTGGATAAATCCAAGTTCACTGTGGTCCTTTCATTTATGAGATGAATATGGGAAAGGAGCAACATCCCAGAACATCAGTAAATATAAGATATAGAATGGGAACAATAGGGATAGGAATCGGCTGTAACTAGAGTGTGAAATATTGTCTCTCTGAGGAACAGCTGGGAATGCAGTATTGATGACACTTTTCTGGACAAAGATTTCCATTTTTGCTTTTACATTATTTTTACAGGAGAAGTCAGATGTGAGGCACCAAACAACAAACTGGATAAATTCACAGGAACTCTTACTCTTTGGGGAGAGAAATATGCCCTGGACAATGAGAAGATGTTGCTGAGAGGCTGTACTATCAGGAACACAGAGTGGTGCTTTGGGCTTGTCATTTATGCTGGTAGGTAAAAAGATTGACATGCTGATTGCAGAGCCCAGAACCACTAGTGTGGGGATACATCACACCCAGCATCCACAAAGGAATCAAGTACTTATGCTTCCAGGCACGAGAAGAAAAAAGTTTCAGAAATCCACACAGCAAAGTACAGGAGGGGAGTTTTGATCGATGACTAAGAAAGAATGTAACAATTAAATTTGGTTAAGAATTCACTCAAGTGTATTGCAGTAAACACTCTGAATCATTTCTATGTGATTTTCATCCACATTGGAATATCAGGGTCATCAATAATATTATTGATTAGATCTATGCTTTTCATGAACATAGTCCTTCTATTGTTTCTATACTCCTGTAGACATGTGAAATAAGACATAATATGTCACAAATAACATAGCAATGCCAAATATACTGTGAGAAGTGATTAAACTTGAATGGAAGGGTTGAATGTTGAAAAAAAATAGTTGAGTCGAAGTCCAGATTTAGTGGTTTTATATGACTCTCTCCATATAGTCTCAGACAAATGACTTAACTTGTTTCTGCCCAGGTTTCCCACTTGCAGTCTAAACTGTGTGTACCTGACTTCATGAGAGCTGTAATGGTTATTTATGCTGAAAACACAGTGGGGCCTCAGAGGGAATCAGCTTTAGAACAGCTAAGCTTTATTACTAAAATTAACAAGTGTGCTTCATCTCCAGGGCCAGACACAAAACTCATGCAGAACAGTGGAAAAACAACTTTTAAGCGAACAAGCATTGATCGGCTCATGAATGTCCTTGTGTTGGTGGTAAGTCTGATTAATGTGTCTTCCTTTCTTCAGATGTGTTCATCATTTCCAGATGCACCACCTCTCTGTCCACACAAATGGGGGAATATCAGAAGTGACTAATGATAAAAATAAAAAGTACATCATAATTTATCAGCAGCCTGAGTTCTGCAGTGCCTCTGCCAGCCCATCCTGCAAAACAAGGCCATTACATTGACAGAATTAAGGACTTTCCTTCTGAACTTGTCATTTACTCTACCTTTTCTCCTCTGCATTTTTGGGTGAGAAATATTTTGAAGGCTGCAAAGCCCTTTTTTCCTTCTAGTAATTTTGTCATTTTCTATTTAAATAAACATTAGCAGTTCTCTCTCTTCTTCCCAATTTCTTTGCATCTCTTGTGATATCTGCACAGGACTTGGTAATTGAGTTTGCTAATTTACACTATGCCATCTCCTGACTTAACACATTAGGGTAAATTATTAGACATGGTCTCATTAATGCTCAGAAGCTGGTGTTTTAAGCAGCTGGGAAATTTTAGAACATTAATCTTACATAGCAGACACTGTTCTCAGATTGAAAAACAGATTGAATTTGAGGGTTAAGCTCATCAGTGGTTTTAACAAATGGCAAGTACTTCCAGGCAGAAATAGTGATTCTTTCACAGACTCTCTCAAGATTTTATTGCTTGAGTTCAAAACCACTCAGGGAAGGAAGACATACACTCTGACACTACTTTAATTAATGTTGCTTGAAGGAAAGGTCTTTAATTTCATATTTTATTTCCCTTTGAGTGCAAATTTGTCATGCTTTCCCATGCATGCTGCACCACCTTCAGTTTATGACACTGGGAAGGTCTGGTGGTCAGTGCTTACTGTTCTTGCTCCTTCTCTACTACTCTTGCTCTCCAGATCCCCCTAGCAGCTGGCTGGGGACAGGATCCATTCCCAGGCACTGGAACAAGCCCTGGGGGAAACATCCACCAGAAGTCTGTGCATTACAGCAAGGCTGAACGGAGCTCTCCCTGCCCTCTATGAATTCATGCCTCCCCAGCACAGGGGCTTAGAGAACAAACGTCTCCAGGGTGGCACCACCCTCAAACCTCCACATTTAATCTCAGCCTCTGTATTCCTGTTATTTTTCTTGGGATCCCAAAACTCCTTTAGGTGAGCCTGGGGATGCCCAGCAGTACCACATAACAGAGAGCCACTCCAGGGTTAACTTCAATCCCTCTTGAAGCCCTGCTCTGTGTACAGTAAGGACATACCCTTAATTTTAAACAATGTTTGAGCATCTTACATTCAAAATTTTTCAAGCATTTGAAGAATTTCACACTTTCATAGGTGTTCTTCTGTGCTCTGACTGGAGAGGAGAATGGGCTGTGGAGGGATTCACAGAGCACAGAAACAGAGCAGAGGAAAACTGAACCGGGAACCTGGAATTTAATGTTCAAATAAGATTTGCTAAATCTCCTTTCACAAGCCCAGGATACCACCCAGGACTTCCAATCTGTTTGGCTTCTCTGTATAAAACACAAATTAGATGAATTTACCTCCTGGCTCTGTTTAAAAAAAACTGAACAAGTTGCAGCCGATTGCATCAGCCTCTGCCTGGGCTCTTGGGCGGTGGAGGAGCCAAGGGTGTGTTTGTCTCCTTTACACATTTTTAACCTAAAATTTTGATGTCTAAGTAAAGCTCTGTCATACATTAAACACCAGACTCTTTGCACACCTAAGGGGATGTGGCACTTGGTTTTTCCAGCTCACCAGGTGGTCAAAGGTTACAGAGTGTGGTCATAAAAAACAGGCAGTATATTGTGCTCTTGAGCTGGAGAATACAAAGCAGCCACAACTTTACTATAAATAGGTAATTTAAATGTAGTGAAACTTACTCTGCATGAACACCGGTAAAACCATTTTTTGTTTGCCTGTAAAACTTCCAGGCACAAAGCAGTGTTTAAGCAGGTTCGCCAAGGGAGCACCTGTTAAATGCTGCCTTCCTCTGCCTCAACAAGGGTTAATCAGACTCAAAACCTTCCCAGATGGCAGTCATAGCTGTTTTGTCACATTTGGAGGTGCTTCTCATCCATCTGAGAGAGAAGTTAATGTTCCTCCAGTGGGGATGCACTTGCCAGCTCCAGAAATGCTTTTTTCTCTGAAAGCTGCTGTCTAGCAGGCTAGGGGAGCAAATTTTCAGAGAAAGAGCTCTCACATACCTCTCCTAAACAACTGACTGCTTCAAGTCCTTGAGCAGAATTCAAAGTAACAATTAAGAAACTGAAACAGTTTTAATTCACAGTCCAACAGTCAATGTTTGTCTTGAAGTCCAAAGTCACTTCCTCTTTACAAAACTCTTACCAAGAGGATCTTTAGCAGCCAGTGCATGGGCAGGACCTAGGGAGGGGTGGTGTTCATACTGGGAAGCTCCATGAGTATGCACAAGCAATGATTTTTCATGTTGTTCTCATCAGGGCTGTGGTTACAATTGCAACACCCTGAATGCAGTTGTTTCTGTGCACAGAAATTAATCTTGAGGCCTACTTTTAATGGCTTGGTCCTTTCCATTTGTTTCAGATCAAACAGCATGTTAGTGAGCTTTCTGCAAGCATGAGGGTGGCACATGAGTGGGGTTGTGAGAGCATTAACATGCCCAGTGCACAGACAACAAAATGTACATAAATCAAGTGCAGCTGTAGGCAAGAGCGGCTGTCATATAGAATCAGAGTGGCTTGAATTCGAAGGGACCTTAAAAAGATCATCTGGTTCCAACACCCCAGCCCTGGGTGAGGACTCCTTGGGGATGTTCAGCTCCTGTCTTGCCCTGCATGTATTTCGGTTGCTGAATCACACATTGAAATTCCTATAGGGATTGTGATATTCTGCAAATGAATAATTTTTAACCTCTGGAGCAGTGAGGCGGGTCATGCCTTTCAAATACCCTTAAGTCCTTATAATTACAATAGCACAGATTGAAGTATGTTTTAATTTCTGGTTCACAGAGGTTTAAAAACACTGCACCACATTCCAGCAAGCAATATTGTCTCCATTTCACAAGCTAAGCAATTTATTTGGCTTTGCACAATTAAATAGAAAAGCTACTACTCATGTGTGAAATAAATGTGTCCCCTGGAACTCAGTCTGTCACCTTTTCTCACTGCAGTTCCCTTTTGTGGCTTTTTGATATTAAAACTTGAATCAATCAGGCATGAACTTTTCACCAAGTGATTCATATTGCTCCACAGAAGTATCTTTCTTCCTTCCACAGATGACCTCAGCAGTACAAATATTGGGTTTGCCATCAATGTTTCTATGTTTGTCCCTCAATTACTGTTTTTTTAAAAGGTTGATTACTGTTTTAATGTGATTGTTGCTGTGTGGCCTTTACATAATGGTCCAACTTACTTATATTTCCTCCCTAATGATTATACTTGAAAAGATGATTTTTAATTGCTCTTTTGTGCAGCCTATTGACTCCATATCTTCACTCTTTTATTATTATATTGGTTGTTTTATGTCAAATGTTTGGAAAAGATCGTGCCAAAAGAATTTTTTCTCATCATTTGTCCAGGAAGGATGACAGTTAACTGTAGTTTATATCCCCCACCATCACCATTTCTACCTTACAAATATTGTAATTATATTAGCAGGATTCCAAGATGGTCGGTCTTCCCACTTTTTAAGGCATTGTTAAAAATTAACCTTATTAAAGTTTAAAAACTATGCTCTAAGCTTCCATCTTTGAATTAGATGGACTTGCTGCACTGAAAATGCTTATTATCAGATAGAGTCACACAATCCTCTGTGTCAGTAAACATAACCTTCCTTTTTCATATACCATAGGGCAGATAAGTCCTACTTTTTCCTTTCTCCTTCCTCTTGGAGAGCTGTCTGTTAACACATTTGCTTTTCACACACCTGTTTATTACTTCATTTTTTTTCTATTCTCGATTCTTTATTATTGTTAGAGATTCACACTGCTGTAATTCCTTGCAATTTGTATTAATTTCTGTTAAATTTATTTCTTCCTGTTCTTTTTGTCTGCTTTTCCAAATAAATGTATTGCTACAGTCTTGTCTTTTTTTAATCAAAAAATGTTTTATGACCTATATAATGTTTTTATGTCTGTTAAATAGTGTTCCCAAGCAAGCCCCAGTTTTCAGTAAGGTTTCCCCATTTCAAATTTACTTCCCAGTTGCTGTTGCCCTGGTTACTTTAGGCTTCAGGAAACAGACTTCTCTATAGCCCAAGGATATGCATCATTAGTTGGTTCTGCTTTTTGTTTGCTCAAAGGAAATGCAATCAAATTGTAAGGGCAAATACCAAGGCAACTATTAGCTTTGAGAAAGCAATTAACTCTCCCCTAACTATCAGAATAATATCCAGTGCTAAATTCCAGGCTGTATGCTACTGGATATCCTTAGTAGTCTTTCAGAAATTATGAAGAAGACTGTGATACATCTGGCAAATGGCCAAGTAAAGTCCTTCAGGCAGTTTCTATTCCCAAATATGCAGCCAGATGTTTGAGCACCTTCAGCTCAACTCGCCTTTAATTTTTGAGATTTGCTGTACAGCAGACTGCTGTAACCATGCTTGCTGAGATGTCTGCTTGGGATTTAAATCCCCAGCTGTTTGAGGACTTTTAATTCCAAGTTGCCAGACTCTGTACTGTGTAGCTTTGTCCTCGAGGTAAAAGTATCATAATTTTGCTGTTTTTTCCTCTTCATCCCCAGGCACATTTTCCTATGATTTAGGCTATCCAACCCTGTCCCATTAGGGTCTTCTGATTAACTTGTGCATAATAAAGTCCTTGTTTCTAAAATGCAATACATTTTGTTTGGTTTTGATTTGTTTGGTTTGTCTTTCGTTTTTGTTTTTTTTTTTCCAGATCTTTGCATTTTTAGCACTGATGTGTCTCATCCTAGCCATTGGCAATGGTATCTGGGAGCATGATAAGGGCTACTACTTCCAGGTCTATCTGCCCTGGGCAGAGGGTGTCAACTCTGCCTCCTACTCTGGCTTCCTCATGTTCTGGTCATATGTGATCATTCTAAACACCGTGGTACCTATTTCACTCTATGTCAGGTACGTGCTGTAAGCTCCTTTCACTTTTGATCTTAGGAGAGATTTAACTTTTGCCTTAACTGGGAGCAGCATTTTCCTTAAAACCTAACACAGCCCCATCATGGATGCTTCTACACAACCACAGTGACCCTTTCCTTGTTTCTGATGCCTTCAGAAGGCTTTGTCAGTGTTAGAGTAGGGACAGCAGTGAGCCCTGGAAGAGGAGAGGATGATTTTGCAATTAAAGGGGAGGTGTAGGTATGTAGGATGCTATAGGAGCAGGGCTGGGAGCCTGTCACCATTAGCATCTTTCTAACAGTGAATGAATGGCCTGTTCTTTGAGGTGGCTTCAGGACTGTGTCAGGATTGCCAGGTAAGTAGGTGCAACCAGGCTGAAGTACTTGGTGCAGTTGAGAGTGTTCTCTCTTCTCAGACAATGCAGAGCTGTGTTGGTTATTTGTGATAGACAGGAATGACAGGTAGGCAGCATGTCTGTGATGCTCTCAAAACTTGGGGCTGGGGTAGACACTGCACAGCCCTGTTCAATTTATCATTATAGCTACCTTCAGTCAGCTTTGCTGCTGAGACTCTCTTTTGTGTTGGTAAACATGAGGAATTAATTCCATTCCTGTCCATTCCACTCAGCAAGGTGAAAATTCATGTCATCTGTGAGCTGATGCCACTCTTTTTTGGTGGTACTGAGTGACACAATGGCTCTGTTGTTGGAGACATGGCTGTGCTCATCCCCTGGCAGTGGGCTCAGCTCAGCCCACAGCTCTGCTGGAAACCATCTCCTGAGATGGCACTAACTGAAATGCACTACTCCTGCCCCAATTCTCAGTCCAAACACTTCTGAAACTTCCCAAGTACTTTTATAAAGTACTACTTTATGAACAAAGGAAATGAGTTTCTGCTGTAAATTTAGCATATCATTTCAGTGGGATTTGCTTCAGCATCCCTTACCACAGGCCACCTATGGGCAGATGAGTTCAACCTGTCATTACCTTCAAAGTTGTCTTCTAATTGCAATTGATAATGGTGGTGCTGAAGATAAAGAGCTTGTCTCTTAAGTTAATGAATATTCCATTGCCTTCTGCTTCTGTTTCATTAGTGTGGAGATTATACGCTTGGGTAACAGTTTCTACATTGACTGGGACCGTAAAATGTATTACCCACTGAATGACACGCCAGCTCAGGCTCGAACCACTACACTCAACGAAGAACTGGGGCAGATCAAATACATCTTCTCAGACAAAACAGGAACTCTCACCCAGAACATCATGTGTTTCAACAAGTGCTCCATCAATGGCAAATCCTATGGTATGCTTGTCTTTTTCTCTGGGTTTTCTTTACTGTGTGCCCCTTCAACCACAGAGACTAAATCTGATATCCAGAAGAGAGTGCCATGTAAGGAGCTGCAGTGGTCAAGTGTAAGGCTACCCTTCAAGGATGTCTGGACAGCCTAATTGCATCACTTGCCACGTATCAATTGTTTCCCCTTTTTTCTCACTCTTTTATCTCCCCTCTTCTGCCCCACTACTGCCCTAACACTATTCGTTTTGCTTCAGTTGTCCCAGATTTACAAAATCTGTACCCAAATTTGCTTTTTTTTTTTTTTTTTTTTTTTTTTTTTTTTTTTTTTTTTTTTTTTTTTTTTTTTTTTTTTTTTCTGATATCACTAGTTAGGTAATCACAGCTTTTTATAGTATTATTGGCCTGGTTAGCCAGGTATTGCTAACCTTGCAAAATATAACATGCAACTCACATAACTCACTCCCTTCTAATCATTTATGAAATCAGCCACCCTTCATGGGGCTCATCTGCATATTTTGCCAGCTTCTCACACTGTCCTCTCTCAGCAATTTCTCATGTCATGAGCAGTGATTTTCCACATTGTTTTCAGGTAGTTGGAGTAGTCAATGACTTGGTCTTTGTCTTTATACCTGACATCCTTCAACTACCTGAAGAGAGAAAAGTTTGCAGGGAGTTGGAAAAAATGGGAAACATGAATTGTTAGCTCTGTTAGGTCCTAGAAGTTATTGATTTAAAGGGCTTGTTCATGCTATGAACCCAGGCAGTTTTCTTCATACTGCTCAAGAGATGAGGCACTTTGTAAACTGCCTAATTGATTAACATCATTAGATGCCCCAGAGAAATTAGTCACTGCTTATTTGTATATGGATGCTTGCTTTGCCTGTGTCAGACCTCCTGATGCACTAATGTGCTAGAAAGTTTGCATCTTTGCTCAGTGCTATCAGCTGACCTAATAAAAGAAGATATTTCTTCCTATTAATCTGTATATTTGGAGATCATCTTATATCAAACAGTGTTACTATGATATTTAACATTAGTGCTGCTAATGAGGAGTTTGTAATCTCTCTTATCAAGTGTCCTTAGTTGACTTTTCTGAAATGCATGTCACCACCAACAGGTGACATACAGGGTAAGGATTCAAGAAATTAATGGGAAACACATGCAAAGAAGGCAAACAGTCTATTGCCTGTAGTTTTCTAAATGTTTAGCTTCTGCCTAGCACAGTACTTCTCTGCTGCTCAGAAGCATTCTGGTAAGCAATGCTAGAAAGGATTATTTAGTTCTGCTCTCTTCTAAAGGCTTCAGGGAAGAGATGTACAAAAGCCTCTTGGCTATCATTCCCAGGGAATCAGCTGATGCATAGGTTCTTAGAAGAGGTGTTTACTGTGTTTGTTTTACACTCCTGAGGCCTTTGTGAAGGCACACCAGCACTACAATTGACTTTGGTCACAGTTGAGGTTGCTGGTGCAAACACGAGTCAATCACTCCTATAAGTCATTCCATTTTGATCTTATTTCAATTAAGTGTTGGGACTGGCTGGCCTTGGCACAGTCCCGACCTTCCTAAGTGAAACTTTTCTCCAGGCAGAAGTTCTAATAATATTTCTTGGAGATGACATGTCTTCAATTCCTATGAATTCAGATCATCCATTTGGGGAGAATCAACAGAGCAGACTTTCTATCTAGTGGTGGGAAAAATGGGCTTTAAAAACTCATTTTCTGTGGGTGTCCAGGGACTGCTGCAAATAGTAGGATCTGGGAGCTGGATTTTGAAAGAGAAGGCACAAGATAAGTCAACCCCCTGGAAGCACTTTCATTTCCTACTTAGGACTAGAAACATTATTCTCTCTGTGTTCAGCTCAAGACAAGTATTTTTTACTCAAAAGCCAGTCACTTTTGTGGTAACTACTTTGTATTTCAAGCATCTATCAGTCTCCAGATTTTGTCATGGACAAACATAGAAACTGATTGTTATGTATCATCAGTCATCAGTGCCCATGTCAATGTACTTTTAAAATAGAAACTTAGAAACACTTTACTCAATTCTGTGGTTCAGAGACTGCACTTACCTGCAGTTTGTGGCTATAATTTCATCTTTCTTGCTTGCAGGTGATGTGTATGATATGTCTGGACAAAGGATAGAAATAAATGAGGTAAGTGCTCAAATGCTATCAGGATCTGTGCTTTCAGTGGACCTGGATAAGTACCAGTGGACAAATCCCTGCACAGCTTATGTTTTTGACCCTGCAAGAGCTGATGCTCTTGATGATCAGAACAGAGATATGCGTTCCTCTGGATGTCAGAGAATTTCCAGAGTTAAGCTCCTGGGTTAAACCTGCAGGTCAGGAACAGCCCACTGTCTCCTCTGCTTCTCCTGACATCCTGGGGCATGCACAATTTCTCTTGGACACTTGACCACAGGTGTTTGTTGGAGACTTGGACATTGTTGAATTTTATTAACTTTGTCAGTTAATTAAAGCTTTTGCAAGGAATTAGTGAGTGCAGTTCACACCAATAGCGAGGTCACTGTCAAATTCCTCTGATGTCTGGACTTCAGAAAGTGTGAAAATGTGTAAATTTTACATTTTTCTTTAGCATCTGCTTGCAGGCACAAATGCACGTCTTCATTTCAAAAATGTCTGAAAGCTACATGCAGTAATCCAAATAACAAATAGCAAGATGATTATGAAAATCCCACTCCTCATTCCAATGATTCATTCCATTTAGATCTTAAATTTCCCACTGAAACAGGCTGTTTTGCTGAGCACTGTGCCTCGAGCCTGCCCTGTCTCTGTCAGCCTTGCTTGGTGACACATGCTAGAGTCCTGCCAAGTGTCCACCCCACCCTGCTGCTGGTGACAGTCTCTGGAGCAGAGTCCTGCTGCCCACACACCCACAGTGTTGCTGTGCCTGGACCTTGCTGTGCAGATGACTGTGGGAGGGGTTGGTCTGTGCTCTTGGGCTGAGTGCTAAATTTCAGTATGCAGAGGTCAAAAGGATGATTCCCATCCTGGAAACTCTGAGCTCATCAGGGATGGGGTGGCAGTCAGAATTGTTCGAGGCAGGCTTGGCAGTCCATTACTCCATGACGCATCATGTGGTAAGCTTCTGGACATTTCTCCAGTGTGTTCCACTCTGCTTGGGGCTCCTTGTTTATTGACAAAATAGTTAGTGCCTGTAGAGTTTAACCTTTACTTCACCTGTCTGTCCTATTTTTTCTGTATCAGGATTTTTTCCTGACTTTGGGAGAACATGGTGGATAAGACAGACTTTTGAATTGCTTTAAACTGGTCTCCTCCATTCCACTATCACAGGCAGCCTTTGATATCATGAGCAAGATGCTTCCAAGCAGGCGTGTGTTGAAAGCAAGCACTTCTTTGCTGTAGGCATCCACTGGTAGGGCTCCTGTTGGAGCATTAGCTGCTACTCAGAGAGGCAGTTTAGCTAATTGGTTCTTAGCCTGAGTGCTCTGAAAGGCACATCTAGTGTTGTCCTGTCCCATGATTAAATACCTTTCACAACCTCCCACTTCCTTAAATGCACCAATGTCTGTCATGAGCAGCCAGCCCTGCAGGATCCTTTGTAAATGTGAGGAGGAGACAGGGGCAGTGTTGGGCAGCTGGTGTACAGCCGTGTGAGAGCTCAACAAATAATACCAAGCCATGTTTTTTTCAGAACACAGAGAAGGTTGATTTCTCATACAACCCATTAGCCGACCCAAAGTTTGCCTTTTATGACAACAGCCTGGTTGAAGCTGTGAAGCTGAATGATGTCCCAACACACAGGTTCTTCCGGCTGCTCTCACTTTGCCACACGGTGATGCCAGAGGAGAAGAAGGAAGGTGAGGACTGCTGAGGGCACTGGAATGAGTGATTATGTTCACTCGCACCACAGCATGTCTTCTCTCCACAGAAGCTGTTATTGGTCCTTTTGGCTCCCTGGTGATTTTCTGTAGTGTATGGCTACACATAAATCAGTGTCTTTGGAGATGCCACATGGGAAGAGAAAGGACCAGGGCCTCCACTCCCTGTGTGTTCCTATGGTGGAGCTGACACTACTGCAAACACCACATCTCTGGAGTGCGGAAATTGCAGGTGCCACAGCTTCCCTGAGGTGGCAGAGGCTTGCCCTGCTCTCTCTCTACTCTGCTCTTAGCCCCAAAAAAGCAAAGAACATAGAGTACCTATCCACTGGAGACTCATTAACTCCTTTTATCCAGTGTTCCACAGCTCCTAGGTCAACCTCCTCAAATCCCAGATGGGATGAAAGCTATGCTTTAAAGGCTAGAATTAATTGTCAGGTATAAAGTGAAAATATGGATCAGAAAAAATACATGCAAATCTAACTAGAAGGGGCTAAACCCAAGGAACCTCTCCTCTCAGTGAGATTCTAGACCCCAAAGAGAGTGATTAAAATCCCCAAAAGAATCCAGGGGGCCTCTTGCATTGTTCTGGAGGATTGGTTGGTGGGACTTGATGGAGATGTGTGGACATAAGGTGCTTTTTAGTGCTGGACCTCTGTGGATAGACAGAAAAGCAAAGGGATAACTGCTGTATTATGTCTTTGGGTTTTTGGGGTATTTTTTTGGTTGTTTTTTTTTTAAGCTCAGAAATAAGTCAAAAGCCACATTACATCTTTTTCTTGCATGTCAGGTAACTTGGTGTATCAAGCACAATCTCCTGATGAGGGAGCCCTAGTCACTGCTGCCAGAAACTTTGGATTTGTGTTCCGAGCTCGCACACCAGAGACCATCACTGTTGTGGAAATGGGAGAAACAAAAATCTACAAACTTCTGGCTATTCTTGATTTCAACAATGTTCGCAAACGAATGTCTGTGATTGGTATGTTTCCTTTGCTGCTTTCTTTCCTTCCTGATTTTAGCAGGTTCTGGACCTGTCCCTCATTCTGCTATGATGCAGAATTTTTCTAGGAGACCTTCTTTGCAGTGTTCTCTGAATAACATTTATTTCTGAGGACTTGAGATGGGCTGCCTTGACTTTATAATTACACAGCAACAGTGCCAGAAAAATACTTAAAGCAGGCAGGTGGGATAAATCTCAGCATCTGGATCACAGTGATGCAAGCCATCCTTCTAAAGACACAAAGCTTTTCATATATCTTTCTCCCCTCACTACAGTGCAGAAAAGGTCTTTCTTCTAATCAGCTTTTAAATTTTCAGTAAAAATTGAGGAAGTAGGACAGGAGAAAGCAAGAACAAACTGAGAAAACAGGTTTTTTCTAATAAACAAATTTCAAATTTCTCTCAAACAGAAAATGGAGAAATTATTCAAGAAAGTTTTTGCAGCCTTTATTAACACTCCAACTTACTCTACTATTTCAGGAATATTGTAATTGTAGTTACAGTTTACTGGTAGGAAAACAGGAGAAGTAGGTCCAGTTCCCTAAAACAAGTTGTTCTTCACTTTTTAGTGAAGTACAGCCTGTAGGGACAACGTAGTGTCTGCTCAGACCAATGCACTCTCTTCTAAACAGATCTTGTCTTGATTCCTGGGATTTTGCCAAAACTTGGGGAAATTCAGACACCTGTAGAAACTGTTCTTGGCTTTGATGGAAGAGCTTTGTACCCCAAAAGACTCAGTCTGGTATTTGTGGCATTTATTTTCCCCTTCCTCACAGTGCGGAGTCCAGAAGGTGACTTGACTTTGTACTGCAAGGGGGCTGACACCATTCTTTATGAACTGCTTCATCCATCCTGCAATTCTCTCAAAGAGGAGACCACAGAACACCTGAATGTAAGAGCTTCCTTCTCAACAACATCTCTGCATCTGATGTTTTCCTTTTCTCCAGCATAATTTGTCCTCAGGAAAAAAAAAACACAGATTTTAGAAACAGCATTTAAGCACCAATTTTAAGTTATGGAATAGAGAAAAAAAATGAAAAAAATTAATTTCTATGGCTTTAGGTCTCAAATTAGTTGCCAAAGCATGAGAATCAGGTGCCATGTAAACTACTCCAGGACATTCAGCAAATCAAGGAAGGTGATTCTGGAACACTGTCCAGCTCTAGGATCCTCAGCATAAGAAGGACATGGACCTGTTGGAGTGAGTCTATGACTATGAGGGTGATCAGAGGGCTGGAGCATCTCTCCCAGCCTTAGCTGGGAGATTTGGGGTTGCTCAGCCTGGAAAAGAGAAAGCTCTAGGGAGACCTTTTAACACCTTCCAGTATCTGAAGGGGCTATAAGACTGCTGCAGAGAGATTTTTTACAAAGGCATGTAATGATAAAACAAGGATTTGATGGCTTTAAACTGAAAGATAGAAGATTCAGTTTAATTATTAGCAAAAATTTCTTTACTGCGAGGGTGATGAGACACTGGAACAGGTTGTCCAGAGAAGCTGTGGATGCTCCATCCCTGGAAGCATTCAAGGCTGAGTTATATGGGGCTCTGAACAACTTGGTCTATTGCCCCTGCCCAAGCCAGGGGGGTTGGAATGAGATGATCTTTAAGAGCCCATCCAACCCAAGACATTCTATCATTCTATGATTCTGTAATATGGACAAAGATGGCAAATCCAACACAGGACATTTAGAAGATCCAGAACTTGTTTCTGATGCACCTGAGGAAACACCTCCCAGAGACACATTTCATAAATGCATCTTTGCTGTTCCACCAAACACTGAGGTCTATATTGTCCATCAGAAAGCACAGTTAGGCTTCCTGAGATGCCACGACTAGCTGTGTACATGCTGTGGATTTCAGCCAGAATTCATACCCTAAAAATGTTGAACCCATATCCAAAATTTGAGGCTGTCTTCAGTGTTTATCTAGATCTCACTCTTCTGGACGTCCTGTTGAGAAATACAAGCCTGAGAAACAAATGCCTGATTAGTGAAAAGCTTTAGAGCCAAGAATAGAAAAGCCCTTTTGAGTTGTTTTTTTTTCCATAAGGACCATGGATGATAATGATAAAGTGGTCTGGAATTGCTGTTTAAAAATGCGTCAATGTTTGTGGCCTAAGGTGTCATTTGTTCACCTTTCCTCTGCAAACTTTACCAAGATGCTTTTACCGGTCTGATTTCTGAAGGTCCTTTGTAACCAGACTCTTCTTCTTGGACCTTGGATCATCTATCTCACCACTATCTTGCAGGAGTTTGCTGGAGAAGGCCTGAGGACACTCGTGGTGGCCTATAAGAGCTTGGAGGAAGACTACTTTCAGGACTGGATCAGGCGTCACCATGAAGCAAGCACTGCCTTGGAAGGACGGGAAGAGAAACTGTCGGAGTTATATGAAGAGATTGAAAAAGACCTTATGGTTGGTAATTCAGGGAATCTGGGCCAGGCTCTGGGGGAGGCAGTGAGGGTGGTGATTTGTCAATAAACAGCTCAGTGTGACTTTGGTAAACACTGCTCTGCAAACAACTCAGTGCGCTGTGTGACAGGAGCAGGTCAGAACACGGCAGCCCTGGGTGTTCACTGGCACCTCCATCAGGAGACCGTAACTGCGGTGTCAGCCACCAGTTCAGGGGAATGGTTTTATTTTAACTCATGTGGGTGTCAGAGTAGCTTTCTTGTGATGAAGTGACATATCAGAGCCTTCAGGAGATGACGTGGACACAAATATTTCATAGCTATCCTTTGTATGTGCAAATGGCTGACCTATTTATTTTTCAGCCTTTGAAATGGCAGGCAGTGAATAATTTCCAGTGCCCATGAGAATGTCTCCTTTGTTCTTCCAGCCCTGGGCAGGATGGGTAAATGATATCCATGAACACATTCGTGTCAATTTGAAATAGAGCTAAACAGTGATCTTTGGGTCATTCTTCTCTCCCTAAGTGTTGTTACAGTTTTGAAATGCCCTGGAGAATTTGCCTGTGTTTTAGAGCCATGAATAATGAATGAAAAGCATGTGTGTGATCTGAAGAGAAGCAATCCAGCTTTTGCAATCATGGCAATGCTTTCTTGAAATCCCAGAAATCCTGGCTCCTTTGCTCCTTCCATTAGCTGTATGCTCAGAATGCCAGCAGTGCTCAGGGAGGAAGCAGGTGTGAGCTGTGGAAATGTTGGCCTTTGGAGGTTGCAGTCTCTCTAGCTGGAACAGGAACTACTGTAAACAGGGATTGTACATTTTGGAGGACCCTGTAAAGAAGTTCCCTCAGAGCTGTTACCTACATTGATAACACTCATAGCTGATTTTTGATGGACATCTCAGGATGCCAAAAGGGATCCCAGGCTTAAAACCAACCTCTGAATTTAGTCTCCAAGCAGCAGGAGGTAGGTGGTAGCAGTGAAATCTGAGGTTGCAGTGAAACCTCCACGTCTCTTTGATTACAGGTTAAAGCCACCACCTACCTTCAAACAGCAGAAAAAGCAGTAACTTAAAAATAATGAAGGTTTTTGTCCTGAGCAGTCTGTGGTGTAGCTGTGTAACAGTGTGGACCAGGGATGGGGATAGGTCTGTTAAGGGCTGGAGAAGATGTTTAGCAGCCATGTGACATCTGCAGTACTGCATGGCTGGGATCAAGTTCCACACCAGAGGAGGTCTGGGACACAGATCCAGAGTGTCTTTGCCCCTCTTTTAAAGCTCTATCTGCTGTGAAGGGAACACATGGAACAACACAGACCTATAGCTCTGCAAATATTCTTGCAAATAATTTCATGCATATTCATAATCCATCAGAGCCTGGGGAGATTAGAGCCTAGAACACCTGCAGGATCAGGGCTGTCCTCTGTACAGTAAATTTGCTGAGGAAGAATGACAATCAGTACAACCTTATTTCTGGAGATTTCATTTGTGTTTGCTTAAATAATTAGGTTCAATGCTTTCTCCTTTGGTAGCAGTGGGAGGATTTAACCAGCTCCCTGCCATTTCTGTTAAGCTGCTAGGTGCCACAGCCATAGAGGACAAGCTACAAGATGGGGTACCACAGACAATTGAGACTCTTGCCAAAGCCAACATCAAGATATGGGTTCTCACTGGAGATAAGCAAGGTAAAAGTGCTACAGCTTTGCATGCTTCTCTTCTCCACTGGTGGGATTGTTCTGCTAAGACCTGTGTTCTCATTCTTTGAAAACTGCACAGCAGACAAACTTACATGGCTTTGCTTCATTGCCAGCAATGCAGAATGTCAGTTAATTAGAATTAGATCAGATTACTAGCTCATGCCTGTATTTCATTTCTGTCATAAGAGTGGAAGCAGGGTGAAGGCAGCATTGTCCTTGGAGAGGTGATGTTAGGCAACCCATAGTCCCTGACATAAGCTGTGAAAAGGTGTCACCTTCACCCAGTTGATCATTCAGGTGAAGAAGGTGGAAAAAAACTTGTCCTGCTTTCCAGAAACTTTCATGTTAAAGTGGATGTTGGGTGCATTTCAGCTTGTTGCTGGCTCTTATCATCCCAAATAGAAATGGAGGAAACATAGGAGATGGAGATGGAAAGAGCAGCAAATAGACTCCAGTGAATTCTTTTGGAGACAGTATTTTCACTGAAACAATGGTGTTTCAGGGAGGTCAAAAGTGTTTGCAAATAATTTCATCCAAGACATGAGCAGAGAATTTTTGAGAAAAATGGACCATTTAGTTTTGTCATGTTCCAAATGCAATAGTTTTGCTATAAAATACCAAAATATATTTCCAGAATGTTATGGACAAAATGTCATATTCTTTTACAGAGTTGTGTTTTGGGTTTTGGGGCTTTTCTGGAAGCAGGGAGAGGGCAATTAAAAATCCTGAAAAAATTTTTGAATCAACATGAAGTGGCTTGGTGTTTTTTGTTTGGTTGGTTTTTGTTTTTTGGGGTTTTTTTTGGTGGGTTTTTTTTTTTTTTTTCCTCCAAATATGTTGATTAAAGGGTATTTTAAGCTTTTTCATGTTGGTAGAGTTATTTTTTTCCTGTGGTCTTATGAAGTCAAATTGGCTGGTACAAGCATCAAAGCGACTCTCCTGGCTCACTTACTGTTGACTCTGAAAGGCTCCAATCTCTTTTGAGTCAGAAAGAGAGCTTTTGCCATGTGAACAAAAAGTCTACAGAAGTGGGTGAATTTGGGGCTGCTGAGATGGATTATCTTCCTGGTTTATCTTTTCCAGAGACAGCAATGAATATTGGTTACTCCTGCAACTTGCTGAATGATGACATGGAAGAAGTTTTCATTATTGAAGGCAGCACATCTGATGATGTACTGAATGAGCTGAGGTAAATGGCTAAAAACCAGTTTCATTCTGTGCATTAGCATTATTTTTGTTTTGTATCATTCCACCTTCTTTTTCCCCATCAGCTTTCCTTGCTGCAGTTCATTCAGGGACCTTAGATAAGGGAGAGCTGCCTCCCTGGAAGATCCAGAAGCTAAACATCATATAGAAATCTCCTCTCAGAGTAAATGCTGAAGCTCTTTTATCCAAGAGCTCAAATTATGTAAAGGTATAAGAAAGTAGAGTCAGATAGGGAGTATTAGCTAAAATGACCAACAAGTGATCTTGAGCTACAAAGGCTTTGGCTCCAGGTTTGGGCTATGCTGATGCTGTACTGTTCTTGCCATCTATTTACATTGCTGTCCTTTGTCTGGGTATGTCTTTTGTCTGAATACCTTTTTGACAATATCTGAGAACTTACCTCCCTTCCTCACCTCCTCTGTAGACACAGGTTCTTAGATAAAGGTGAAAAATGGGGAAGGTTTGCAGTTCTTTTCTCTTGGAGTAGATGGCTGCTAGACAACATGCACAGAAAATCAGATATCTTCTGGAATACCATCCTTCATGGCACTCAGATGGTTTGTTTGACTTAAAATTAGCAGAAGTTTAGCAACACTAGTTAGAGTTTCAGAAATGTGGATGATCTGCGCAGACAGCAGCAGCTAAGCAATGCATATTGTTGTTGGGATACAGTAAAAATTGGACTGAACTATCAAAGGGAATCGTTGGGTTTTTTGTTTTCATAAAGTTGCTCTTATAAAACAGATACGTATTTGCACAATTTTCAGATTTCCATCATTATCTCTTTTTTTTTTTTTTTTAAGGAATGCAAGAAAAAAGATGAAGCCAGACTCCTTTCTGGACAGTGATGAAGTCAACATTCAGTTTGAAAAATCTTCAAAAAACCAAATAATTATACCTGATGAGCAAGCAAATGGGGTGTATGGTCTGGTTATCACTGGCCACAGCCTGGTAAGGAAAGTTCAGAGCCTTGCTAGGGCTGAGTTCCCTGAGGAGCTTACTGCAAGACATACTGAAAGTCTGAAAAATGCTTTAAAAATTCAGCTCTAGAGGACAAGGGGTTTTTTCCTCCTTACTGAAGATTAGGTTCAGTGGTTATCTAAGACATCAAAGGTGACAGACAAGGTGTCAGAGGATGCTTCAGGAAAAGAGAACAGTTGGCCTTGATCTTTGGTGAACAGGAAGGATAGAGTAGCTGGATCATATTTAATTTCTGGAAATATACTAGAAAAATAATGAGGTTTGTGTTTGCAGCAAGAAGATAACATGAGATGTGGGTTTCAGTGCCAAGGACATATTCTACTGAATATAGCTGAAAACAGATATGCTTAATTTATAGGATATAGATATTATGATTTAACTATACATTGATACTCTCTCCCACAATGTTCTTCCAAACTGAAGCAATACACTCTAGATGAAATTGTGGCAGATTAAAGACTGCTTGGGAAGCGTGGCTCTGAAGGCTTCACTGTTGATCTAAAACAACAGTTAGCTGTCATCTGCAGAGGGCTATCCCACATCTATTTGATGGTCAGTGTTTGCAGTAACTGCTTAGAAAGAAAGCAAGTGACACCAGACTGGTACAAAGAAATCTGAATCAGGTATGATCTGGAAAGCATAGGGGGAAACTGAGTCAGTTGGGATTTCTGAGCCTGGAGAATCTGATCAGTCTTGGTAATAGTCTTCAAAATTATAACAGGTAAAGACAATAATAGAGTCAAACTGAGATAAAAGAGTACTGGGTGAAATATCTTCCTGGTGAGAACAGTGAAACCCAGCAATAAATTATCTATATTGGGAAATATTTTAGAACCAGTTAGAAGAAAGAAAAAACAATTTAGATCAATTCAAACCTGTCTGCGAGGAACATTTAATTTATGTGAGGTTTATTTATCTGTTGTATTTTACTTTCCCAGATCTCAGTGAAAGCAAATAGACATAGCAAATAGACATATTTAGAAAGTTCTGGGAGGTGCCACCTCCCAGAAACAGGATGCTTCTGTTCTCTGTGGTTGCTACCTTTATTAATGACAGCCCAGCAATTTTCACTTCCAGCTCTACATCAGCCCAGCAAATAAAGAAAATCTCATCTTTCTCTGCTTTTGGCTCATGTGCCATGTGTATAGATCTCAAACACTCTGAGACAGTGCCTAGGTTGTTAATTACCCTTTCTCCTTCTTTTACACTCACTTGCCCTTGAACTCCAGGGCCATAATCCCTGGATTACCACTGTAAAGCAGACAAGAGGTCTGTCAGGTTTGGTCCATGTGCACTGCATAGACATCACCTGAAAGGCCCTTGCCTGTTCCTACTCCATCCCTTCAGCCTGCAGCACAGACCCTGAGTGCTGTGCTAGCAGAACTCCTCCAGCAGTGATGGCAAAGCTTTCTTTATATTCCTGAAAAACACACACTCACCTACACCCTGACAAGGGGATACATCCCACACAATCTGGGCTGTGTGGGAGCCGCCAGTCCACACAGTAGACAAAATGAGTTTCACCAGGATTATGGCTTTCTCCTTGATGGGACCACAAGGACAGTACAGACATATCTAGATGTCATTTATTTATTTCTATAAGCTTGAACAATGGTGTGATACTGTCCCACACACAGGTGCTCTATCCCTGCTTATAGAGGGGTGGGAGGGTAGTGCTGGGCTATGCACACATCTGGTGCTGCCTGAAGAAAGCAAATTGTCAGCATCCTTAAAGGCATCATCATGCCACTTTACTTGCATGCAGTTGCACCAATTAAAATACAAAGTGGTAACATTTTGCTGGTGCTATGCAGCAAGGATATTGAGGCAAATACCATCTCTGACTACACTGACCAGCAGTACTCAGGCTGAAAAATGAAAAGGTCTCTTGTTGAGCAAGACTCCTGCCATAACAGAGGAAAAAGGCGACACTGGTGACTTACAGCTCTCTGTTTCAAAAAGAAAGAATATGTGACCTAAGGAGTGTCTGCCTCACACAGACAAGGCAGTGGGCCTGCTGTAATGGCTCCGAGCAGGAGTGAGCCTTGTAGATTCCTTCCATGCATGTCTGCTTAAAAGAGGCAACAAAGAACAGAGACATAAAGCATGATCTGAAAGAAATTTGAAAAGCTCATACTGTTCCCTCCTCATGCAGAGCTGGAGGGGTGACTAGACATCCAATTATCTCAGTGCTTTTCAAATAGCAATAACACAGCTGAATGAGTTAAAAGGTCAGCACTCAGAGTAAAGCAGCCTTCTCCCTAGTTTTGTGTTTTGCTTTGTCATGCCCACCTGAGCTTAACTTTTTACATGTTTTTTTTAATTAGGCACTAAACAAATTGAAATCTTTCCTATTTATCTCACAGACCTTAAATAGTAATCCAAGAGGGATGAGCAGACACTCTCTCACATGGAGATGCACAAGGTTGTCTCAAGCCCTGCAGCAGCTTCCTGCTCTTGGTGTTTGACACCTCTGCTCTCAGTCTGATTACATCAGCCAGAGCAGATGCTGGGAATGCCCAGCTGTTTTTCATGCCCAGCTGTGGTGGTCAGTGTAGGGTGCACGGTGTGATGTGCAGTGTGCATGCTCCCTGTGACTGGGTGGATGGATTCACCCATGTGGGTGTAACAGCCTGGCTCAGCTGTCGTGGCCACCTCACTGCACCTTCTTTGTCAGGCCAGGAGTTGCTGTGAGCCTTCCCTGAGAGCTTTTCTCCTTTCCAGGCTTACGCGCTAGAAGGGAACCTGGAGCTGGAGCTGGTGAGAACTGCCTGCATGTGCAAAGTGGTGATCTGCTGTCGGGTGACTCCCCTGCAGAAGGCTCAGGTGGTGGAGCTAGTGAAGAAGTACAAGAAGGCTGTGACCCTGGCGATTGGAGATGGTGCCAACGATGTCAGCATGATCAAAAGTGAGTGAATGCCAACAGCTAGCATGCTGTAACAGACTGACTCAAAAAGGTATTTGTTCTCTGAGACAGGCTAGCAGCAGGAACACATATCTGAGTGCCTCCCATACCACCCTGTTTGTAGAAACAAGTGTCTGTCTTTTGGCAGATTTTGGCAGATCTTGCAGATCACTCTCACTACAGGTTGTGTCTCCTGGGCTGTGATGTGTCAATCAGTGTGTCTGCACGGCCACCATCACAAGGGCAATGTATATAACAAAGAGTTTAGATCATAGAGGGCCTAGCTCAAAGCAGAAGAAAATCTTTTTGACTGTATAATATTATGTGGACTGTTTTTTTTCAGCATTTCTTTGTGTCAGGACTGTTTGTTAATTATCTCACTTCAGTTACAGATGGTAGGCTTCCAGGCCTCTCCATCCTTGAGCATCATTTGATGTTGCATTACCTCAATGAATTTATGAAAAAAGTCCTAACTAGGTATAATTAAATTAAGATTATTCAGACGGACCTATTGCTAATCTTCCTCATGTTAATTGGCAAGAGTTGATTAACTGGAGCCTCTTAATTAAGAAAGAAAAGGCTAAGTAGAGAGCTTCAAGGGAGATAAGTGAGGCAGTCAGCAAAGAAAGGAGAAGAAAGTTAAAGTGTACATAATAATTAGAAACTAATCCACTCCTCCCACAAGAGGATTGAGACTTTGGGATTTTATCAATTCAGTTCAGTGGAAACCTCTGAATCTAACAAACTTTCAGGCATTAAGATTGTATTCATTAGTTAAAGCTGTATAATTAGCTGTCACATTAAACTTATGTCCATGTTTAATAAATGCAAGTTACTATTAAATAAAAATGTGACTCTTATATCTAATTATTTGATTGAACTAATAAAGCCTAGGAAATGTAAAAAGGCTACAGTCTGCCTTTTAGCAGTGTCTGAGAAAGATTAAAATGGTTTGAAGATTTTGCCTGTCTGGGATGATGTTCTAAGGCTGCTGGAAGGACATGCACACATGTTAAATAAAAGTCACATGTCAATATAAATTAAAGCTATTGTTTCATAATAGCACCCATTATAAACAACAGTATTTGTGCTGCTGGAAAGCATTCAGAAAAAAACATAAACTGTCACTGAACCTATAACTTCATTCAAATAATAAAATCCCACTTGTGGGAAATGTATCACAGAGCCAAAATCATAGTGCTGCTGAAAGAATTAGTGCACCATTTAAAAAAAAAAATTTAAAACCTTTTCATTATGACTTTCATGAAGGCTGTGAGGGAATTAACACTATGTTCAACTCAGGGTAACTGCTTTTAAGAATTGGGAAGTGAAAACTCTCAGCATAATGATGTGATCAACCACCTTCTTGTTGCAGCTGCCCACATTGGGGTTGGCATCAGTGGCCAGGAGGGGATGCAGGCGGTCCTGTCCAGTGACTTCTCCTTCGCACAGTTCCGCTACCTGCAGCGCCTGCTCCTGGTCCACGGACGGTGGTCCTACATCCGCATGTGCAAGTTCCTCAAGTACTTCTTCTATAAGAATTTTGCCTTCACCTTGGTGCATTTCTGGTATGGCTTCTTCTCTGGCTTCTCAGCACAGGTAGGTTCAGTTTTGGTTTTGTCAGGGACATGGAGATGGTCAGAGGGCAGCACCTCTCCTGTGAAGACAGGCTGAGGGTGGAGGGCTTGTTCATCTGGCAAATGAAAAAGCTTCAGGGAGATCTCACCCTTCAGGACCTAAAAGTGCTACAAGAGAGCTGTAGAGGAACTTCTTAGCAGGGCCTACTGCATTATGACAAAGGGTAATGATTTTAAACTAAGCTTCATTGATACAACAAAGTTTTTTGCAATGAAGTTTGTAAATCACTGACAGAAGTTGCCCAGAGAGGTGGTGGATGCCCCCTTCCTGAAAACATTCCAGGTCAGGTTGGATGGGGACCTGAGCAACCTGACCTGGTTGAAGATGTCTGTTGTGATTGCAGGGAGGTTGGTTTAGATTAATTTTACAGAACCCTTCCAACAAAAGCCATTCTATAAGTCTAGATCTAGCATTTTAAAGCAAAGGAAATCTAGCATTTTCATTTTACAAGAAAATAAACTAAGCCATTCCTCCCACCTCACTTAACAAAATCAGGTCTGTCTTCTTTAGCCACATGGGTATAAAGCAGATATTGCTGCCTCCATTGCTGTTGCTGGAGCATTATGCCTGAAGACAGAATATATATATTATATAATTTCATAATCATTAAGGTCGGAAAAGACCTCCAAGATCATCATGTCCAACCATGAACCCACTGCCATGTTCACTACTAAACCACATCACCCAGTGCCACATCCACATGTTTTTTAAACACTGACCACCCTTTCAATAAATATTTTTTTTCATAATACCCAGTATAAACCTTCCCTGGCATTTAGGAGCATTATGAAGCACATACTTCACTTGCAGGATTTTCAAAAGTATTCAAAGTGATTGCAACCATCAGCTGATGACACAGATTTGAGTTTGGTACCAATCTTGTAAGATCTATGCTTGTGCTATTAGCATATTTGGAGCAAGCAGTTTAACCTGAGATGCCTGTGGGCCTCAGGAGCTTGCCAGAGGAGGATATCCAGAGTGAAAAAACTGGTGTTGATTCATGCAAACCAGCCTCCAACCAAACACAGACATGGGGAGTGCAGATATCCAGGGGCTGGAGGTGCAGGGTGGTGCAGAGGGATCCCACTCTGGCTACAGCCAGCAATGGATGCTCAGCAGACTGGATTGGCATAATGTGATCCTTCCTCTCTTTAGGGATGCTCAGTTTGAGTCATCTCATCCCTTTTGTCTCAGTAACAACTGAAACCAAGGTGTTGCAGCAAGTAATTGCATATACTTTCAAATAAATGGGAAGCACAGCTTTTTTGCTAACTTCACTTGCTTTGTTTTTTTCCCCAGACTGTCTATGATGAGTGGTTCATTACACTTTACAATTTGGTATACACCTCTCTCCCAGTGCTAGGAATGAGTCTCTTTGATCAGGTACTGTTCCTGTCATTACTTTGGGGATTTTATTCATAGGGGTTTTGTCTCTAGGTGTTTTGAGCTGGTTCCATGAAGCAAAAGCAGCTGACATTTTGGCTACATACTGTGGTAACCCCTGATAATAGCTGACAGAGAGAACTTAAATCACACACACAAAAAAAAATGCACCAGAGGGAAGGTGTATCGCCTTAATCATATGATTAGGGTTTAAGTAGCGCTGCGAGGAACAGGGAGTTGAGATAAATATGATTACCCTGACTTGGCCTGTATGTTTCAGTGTGTGATGAGATTTTTGGGTTAGGCTGCTGCCTACAGCAGTAGATGCCCTTGCAACCCTCTCCTGGAGCAGACATACCCTACTTCCTGTGTTCCTGAAGCCTGGCAAGTGACTTACTAATGACCAGATAAAACAATTAATGAGATCTTTGAAACCAGATTTTGCAAGTTCAGACTTTCTAGTGAGTTCATCCTATGATAATCTCACACAAATTTCAACCTCACTATTACTGTTTGACAAGACAAAGGAGAAATAAAGCTGCTCCTATATGTATTTTACAACTTTAATAAATAGGAATTGACTACTTTCTAGTGGTTCAGTGCTCCACTCTGGACACTTAAGGGATCCAAGTCACCTAGCCTTGCCTGTGTTGGGAGGTATTTTCTAACCCTTATCTTCCAGTCAATTCTCTGGAGAACATACCATGTAGTCTGCTCTAGATGAAGTGTATATTCTTTCTTTTTTATCAGCTGTCTTTTTTTTTTTTTTTTTTTAGCACAAGAAAGGTAAAATACATTATGGAAAATATGCCCAGGTGACCTGGGGATGTGCCGTGCCAGTAAGCATGGCAACAGAGTGAAAGCCTTTTCTCATGGAAATGCTCGTCACAGGGACATGGCAGCCCAAACTGGTCTGTGTATTTGTCTGGGTAGCTGCCAGCAAATCTGACTGTCTCCTCTCTGCTTTCAGGATGTGGATGATCGCTGGAGCATGCTGTTCCCTCAGCTATATGTGCCCGGCCAGCAAAACCTCTACTTTAACAAGGTGGTGTTTGTCAAGTGCATGTTGCAGGGGATCTACAGTTCCCTCATCCTCTTCTTCATCCCCTATGGGGCCATGTACAATACAATGAGGAGTGATGGGAAGGCCATTGCTGACTACCAGTCCTTTGCTCTGATGGCCCAGACCTGCTTACTGATCGTGGTGTCTGTACAGGTAAGGCACCCCAGGTAATATTTTTAGTACTTAGTTGTTGTTTCATGATAGCGGCATCTGGAGGCTCAATGACAGCATTGTATTTGCTACTGCATTGTGCATTGCAAAAAAAGCCTCTTGACACCGGATTAGTCTCCTCAGTTCAGCAGAACAGGAGATATGTATGTTATAAAAGATCAGGGTGACAGGAAAGAAGAGTCTTTGCCTTGGGAAGATTGCAATCATAACAGACAAATTAGTTAAGACAGGGAATAGAGAAGAACACGTTCTAGTTTTATGGGAAGGGTTTGAAGCACAGGACTGTCTGTCTGACATCAAGCAGTTATTTATAGGTTCTCCATTATGGAGATGTCTCTGCAGCCTGGCCCAGTGCATGATGTATGTGTGACGCAGCCTGAACTTGCTGGAAGAAATAGCTAAGACTTGGTGGTAGAAAATTCAGATGGTACTATCAGGATGAGAGAGACTACTTAGAAGAAAACCAGTCTATCACACTTCCCTGGATAATAGCTCCTGCTGTATGAAGTCTTTGCAGGCTTGTTCTCCTAACTTTCAATGCTACATTACAGCCAAGGAGTGGGAAATAAGACCTGACTCATTGAACTTACTGTGTTCAGCTCCTGGGCCCTCAGCATAAGAACAATGAGGGCCTGCTAGAGCAAGTCCAGAGGAGGGCCATGAAGTTGATCATAGGGCTGGAGCACTCTGCTAAGGAGGCTGAGGGCACTGGGGTTGTTGAGTCTGGAGAAGAAGAGGCTCCAGGGAGACCTAATTGCAGCCTAACAGTACTTATCAGGGGCCACAAGAAAGCTGGGGAGGGACTTTTGAAAAGGGCATATAATAACAGAAGAAGAGTTACTGGCTTTGAAATAAGAGTGGGTTTGGGTTAGACACTAGGAACAAATTCTTCCCTCTCGGTGTTGAGGCACAGGCACAGGTTGCCCTGAGAAGCTATGGATGCCCCATCCCTGGAAGTGTTCAAGGTCAGGATAAATGGGGCTCTGAGCAACCTGATCTAGTGGAAGGTAACCCCTGTCTATGGCAGTGGGGTTGGTACAGGATGATCTTTAAGTCCCTTAATATCCTGTCTCCAGGACTGGCCATTAATGAATGCTTGATAAGAGGGCAACAACAGGATAAATGTAGTAATCTTGCCTTGAATGGTTTCCCAGAATCTTATGATTTGTGACTTGTTATTTCTTGAGACTTGAATGACTAGCATTCCCAGGGGGAGATGTACAAAGCAGAAGAACAAGCTGTGTTCAGCACAGATGTGCTAAATCAGGAATGCACTGTCAATAGCTGCATTGCTCTGTTCTTTCAGATTGGCCTGGACACCTCTTACTGGACAGTTGTCAACCAGTTCTTCATCTGGGGCAGCCTTTCTGTTTATTTTGCTATCACCTTCACCATGTACAGTGACGGCATGTATCTGATCTTCACAGCCTCCTTTCCCTTCATTGGTAAGCCTTGGGACAAATCTGGACTGCACTCAGAATGGACATACTGCAGGGCTTAAAGTTTCCAAGTATTTATATGCATATTTCAGGATATAATGGTTGCCTTTTCTGCAAGAAATGCCAGGATATTTCTGAGGGTTGCTGGTATTTATTTTGAATCCCATCCATCCAGGTGAATGTGTGTCATGTTTCCTTCTTTGTGTAAGAGTGGACATTCCCATGCAGTCATGGGAATGGTCCTTTAAATAAGCCTAATGAGCTGGATGGAATGTTTTCTGCTGCTCTTCTATATTTGGGTTTCAGTTATTCAATTTTTACAGCTATCTAAGAACATCTTATTTGTAGACATGTGATCTTTGTAAATAAGTTAACATTTTGGCATAGGAAGGCATAGAAGTACAACATCCAGTCAGACATAAGAAAAATACCATGTGATTATTGTGAGCCTTCTGCTGGGTTAAATGGCAAATTCCTCAACAACAAAACATACCAGTGGTGACCAAGTCTTTGTAGATATTTTACATAACAGATTTCTGAGCACATGCAAAAAAATAAGGATAAAAAAATTAGTCCATCTCCTGAGACTTTGACCAGGAAGAACATGTACATACATGTAAGCAAAGTAATTAAAAGTAATTCTGATGATTTTAATAGCTCTGTGCATCCATTGACAATAAAGAAACAACGTTGTTATGAGTCTCTACTTCTGAAGTCCCGACGCTTTTTATTTCAAGTCTCAGATTTTTGTACTAATCAATGCCTTCATTTTTACTGATATTTTCCAGTAAAGACTTATTTTGCCTATCTTCACTGCAACAGCAAGGGGCTTAGCCAACTTAGAAATATCTGAGAGGCAGGTTAGTTGTTGCAACATATTTTTCAAGCAGATGATCACATCCACTTTGAGATGGCTGAGTGAGAGAAGTCAGAGAAGTCAGAATGTCTGTTCAGTTTCCCAGGGCAGGTGGACAGTTGGACTGGATGATCTTGAGGGTCTCTCTCCACCTTGAGTATTCTATAATGGTTCTAGCTCACTTGCCAGCAGTATCTCATTGCTGCTCTGTTATTACTACACTGGTAAAAGAAGTCATAATGCTGAGGGATACTTAATAAGGTCCCAGTTTGAACCACGTTTTAGGAAAGTGTTTCTAGTCTGGACTAAGACAACTTGTTTACTTAAATTTCAGTGAAGTAGTATTAAAGCAGAATTTGGCCAACTGGAAGAAAATATTCAGCAAATATACTGCCAATACCATCATTTTGAAGCCCTGTAATGAGAGTTTTGCAGACTGTTTGTTCTATCTTACATTCCCTCAGTTTTGTAAAAGCCAGCAGTGAGCACTTTGGTTTCAAAGGAGGTATCAGTGACATGCCACTACGTGGCAGTGGTGCTGCCAACATCCTCATTAGGCTATGCTGTCTGTGCAGATCCCCAGAGTAACACATGCTCCTCTCACAGAGGGCTGTGATTTCCATCGCCTGCTGGGCAGAGCCAGTACTCCATATCCTTTAGGAAATGGTGCTGGGAAGCAAGAAAGGAGTATTCCTTCTTTTGCACTGGAGTCCAGGGCCGCTGCTTAAGGTCTCCTGAGTGTTTATATCAATCCTTTGCTGTGATTTGACTCTTCATAGAGAGAAAACACTCACTCTGACACCCTTGTCCACCTGGGTTGTTGTTGCAATCATGTCTGAACGTTGCATTTTACTTTGCTCATCTCAGACAGCAACAAGAGAGAACTGGCTTTGCACTTCTTTCTCTAGCCAGTTGATTTCACTATTGGAGACAATGTCTGCCTTGTATTTTGGTCTGTTTTCCAAGTGCTCTGGAATCACAGAGAGCAATAGGGAATAATGGTGGGAGGTGCTGCTTTTACAGTTTTAATCATGTGTTTGTTTTACAGGTACGGCTCGTAACACCCTCAGCCAACCAAACGTGTGGCTGGCCATCTTTCTCAGCATCGCCCTCTGTGTGCTGCCGGTGGTTGGCTTTCGATTCCTGAAGGCTCAGTTAAAGCCAACTCCCAGCGACAAGGTAAGGAGATACCTTATTAAACCAGAAATCCTGCTTACCATGGCCTGGGCTCACCATGGAGCCACATTGCACGGGCTTGGCATCACCTGGGGTGTGTGTCCGTGTCAGTGCAACTGCTGCCATCTGTCTGTCCCTGACTCCCCAGAGAACGAGGACTGAATTTGGGGTTTGGCACAGTTCAAACCATCTGCAGCTGGGACCAAGGCTGAGATTATTGACATGTGGATTAGACTGCTCTGAGGCAGGAAAGCTGCACTATTTTTAGGTGCAGGGTTTAAGCACTGTGGCTCAGTGGCAAAGGAGTGGCATGTTCCTCCCACCCTGATGCTGTGCAGTTTTTAGCCTGGCAGACCACAGGCTTTCACCCTCCACTGTGTTATATATGTTTGCTGGGGATTTTAAAATTTATTTTAGAATTTACTTTTTGTAGCCAATGGCTGTATGCCCCCTCTGGAACGAGCTTCTCTCCCATCCTCGGGAATATGAAGCTGAGGGCACCAGGGCAAGGAGAGGCAGGGAGTGATGGACTGCTCGCTGCAGCCAAGGGACCCCTCAAGACATCAGCGCACACAGGGCTCCCCGGGCTCGCTTCCAAACAGGAGCATTTGCTGAATGCTACTGCCACCTCGTGCTTCCTTCCTTCCCCTGCGCTGAGCTGCTGCGAATCGGGGTCAGAGCACAGCCCCAGGGGAAGGCACCGCAGTTGACGCCCTCCCTGGTCATCCTCCAGACGTCTGTGGAGCTCCACAGGTTCTCTATGACTGTAGAAGAACGTGTTAGGGGAATTCTTAGCCCTTACAAAGAGGGTAGGCCTTGCTGGAGAAGACTTCTGGCTAGGGAGGTCCTTGAAACAGCTCGAGGCAGCTGTGGGGTGTAAAACTGGTCTGAGTTTACCCCGGCTGAGCAGAAGTCAAACACAGCTATCACCCAGAATCCCAGCCTCATTGCCAAGGTTGAGCATCCCTCTCTCTAGCACAAAATTACTTCTCTGCCTCCTCTTGGAAATGAATGGTCACAGGAGAGGAGACGGTTTCCAGCTCTACAGAGTCCCCCAGCTGGCAGCAGACAGGCCTGATGTTTGAGATGTCAAGCACCTGCCACTGCCATTGTGCCAAGCAAGAAGCACAGGAATCTGGCACCTGGGGGTTCTGTTAAGCCACAGGCTCTCAATAGCAGCCTCCTGCATTAGACAGCCCCATTCTGAAAAGGTTCTTGATAGCAGATTAAGTCAGTGGCCACCTGGGAGCAGAAAGCCCACCACCTGCAAATAAAGTGCAATATTTATTTCCCATCTGCCAAGGAATACAGGATTCTCTCTATTATCCCTGTAAGCATTCAATGCCAGGTTGTATTTAGTGTTGATATACCTGATATAGTGGTAGCGGGGCTGGAATGAGATGATTCTCAAGGTGTCTTCCAATCCAAGCCACTCTGTGAATCTATAAGTCTATAACAATCAACATTATAATCATAAAAATATTTTATGCATCAGAAACTCCCTTTAGCAGTCTGTTTTCTATATTAAATATGCCAATTCCTAAATGTTTCCTTATTTATTTTCTGGAATTTTGACTTGTTCAGATGACTTTCACATTTTGGGTGATCTGACTGTAAGTCCTACAGCCATACCCCAACTATGGCATTAACAGAGATGCACATGGAAATAATTCCCTCCCATGATTTACAGACAACGCTCCAATTAACACCTTTTAAAATAAAATAGAAGATGCCCTTTCCTCATTTTTGTCTTTGAGTCCCTGCTTTTGTTTCCCTTCCTCTGCTTCTCTTCTACTGTGCTTGTGAATAATGATGTACCTTCCACTTTTCCCACCTTATTTCCAGGTCCTGATGAAAATCAAAGAAGCCAAAAAGCGGCCCCCTCCACCCTCACCCAAGCGACGCCTGCGCCGGACCAGCACCCGCCGCTCTGGCTACGCCTTCTCTCACCAGCACGGCTTCGGAGCACTCATCATGTCTGGGAGAAACATGCGGCCAAAGTCACCCTTTGCCACAACGGGAACATTTTCACCAAACAGTGACAAATATAAACACAAAGGATTGTAACGAAAGAAAAAAAAAAAAAATGGAGAGAAGAAAAAAGGAAAAAGTTTCCCAACCCCCCACCCCATCCCTCTTAAAAATTAACAAAGCAAACCAAAGTAAAGGGCTGTCAGGAGAGGAGGCTGTGCTGCCTGCAAGGCACCGAGCCAGTGGCTGCCCAGAGCTCTGCCCTCTGGGCTGCCAAATCAAGGACTTGGGGCTTTTCTTTCACCCACACACACTCTCTGATTCTAGTTTATTTTCCAAAGATGTGTGCTGCTGCTGGGGAAGGAGGGCTGGGTGAGTTGGAGCATGGAGTTGTATGGTATCCCAGAGGACCTCCCTGGCACAAGAGAGGACGTGCTGTGGGAGGCACCTCTGCTCCCTGAGATTGTTTATAATGCTACTTTTTTTTCTTCTCCCTCTAACTATATACCTCAGAGCAAAGAGAATTTCAATCTGAAGAAAAGGTTGAATTGGCAATGTCTTTCTCAGTCATGTGCCTTCATTTTTCTTCATGAATCTACTATGGGCCATATTACTGGGGTGACAGTATTGACCCCAGGTGTGCCTTAGGTCCAGCCACACAACCCAAAAATCCACAACCTTTGTAATGTGTGATTTTGTAGCCTTTTGACTGTGATCCACTTTCTCAAGAGATGGCCAGTACCCAAATACCACCCTCTTCCCACATCTGCCATCAGGAAGTGCTGCAAGCTCAGAGAAACCCTTAGTAGGTCAAGGGACCAGGAGCTGACAGTCATCAGTCTGCTCTGATTTATCTGGGCTGCAAATCTGCTTTTGTAAAGGATTATTGTTCTCAGAACCCTCTCAAGTTTTGTAAGTGGGCACCAGCCATTTCATTTAGACTTAAAATAAAAGAGCAGAAGGTGCTCAGGCTTCCTTATGGCTCAGACCATGAAATCTGGCCCAAGAAGCCCGTACACCATGGTTAGGGCCCACGTGGACTGCCAGCACAAGGCATCTGCCCCCCTTAACAGAATGAGGTGTGTGCACATCTGTCTTGATGGTGATCACACCAGAATTATTGAAGCCAGAAAAGCTATTTCATGGCCAGCAGCTGAAATAGCCTTTACTGCACTGGTGCTGGGGTTCAGTGTAAGGGATGAAGTGACCTGGTGGCTTTCTTACCCTCCCCGATGAGCAGAGTGGCCACGATTCAGAGGATCTTAATGAGGCCTCAGGGCTCTCTGGAGTGTTTCATGGCTGCAGTGTTTCTCCGCACTGGCTCAAATTTTACTTGGGAACAGGTTATCTATCAAACACGGGTGGTAGAGAGCTGAAAATCCTACCAGTCTGACTGCCAGCAGAGGGACCTAAAATGCACAGATGCAGCTAAAGACATGGTGATGTTGAGGGACTGGGATTAGCTCACTGTTTTCTCACACCAAATCCATAATCAGCAGGGTTACTGGGTGGAAGGCCAGCATGGCAGCATGAGAATCTGTCCTGCCAGTATTGCCGAGCTGCAGAGGACTAAGCCTCTGACTGTTGTTAGGGGTGATTTTTTTGTTTGTTTTTGTTTTTTGTTAAGGTTGGGATTTTTTCAGCTGTCATACAAATTTAGACTCCTTCCTTCATTTGATTTGGATTTTTTTTTTTTTGTGCAGTAATCAGCTGATGTTTTTGAGACTCTGCTGTGAGTCTCTGAGCTGTTAGAAGGCAGTGTATGATGGCAAGAGGCCAGCCACGTCCCCATTTCATGGAACACCCTGCTGTCTGTGGTCCCAGTTTCAGCAGATACTGCATGAGATTGTTTAAGCTTTAATAGAAGGTCTCATCTCCCTGTGTTTTAACTCAGCTCAGGAAAAAAATCATAACCAAACTAGTCTGTTGCACCTGCTGCTTGGGGAGGCTTGTTGCAAACTGTGGTATTAAATTTCAGCACGGCAAGTGCAAAATTGGAGCTGGGACTGGATCCAGACTTCAGTGTCTAGGAGCTGCTTGCTAGGGAAAGAGTAAATTATCTGGTGATCTCCCCTGGAAGGAGATGCCTAAGTAAAGTGAGAGTCTGCACTCTGGCTGAGGAAACCACTGTGGTAGTTAATGCTTGTCACCTCCCCCTGATTTACCATTCACTTTGCAGGGACAATCATGGCTTTCTGACAAGGTGTTTGTTTTTCACAGTCAGCCTCCCTGGAGTTAGGGGAAAAAGGAGAATTTCTGCAGATAAGCAGACATTGCCATGATACCCATACTGGTCTGTGGACTGAAACTCCTATCAAAGCATCCTGATTCCTGGCACCTGATGCAGCAGAGTATATTGCAGAGCAGCAGAGGCAGACCTTGTGCTGACAGAGCAAGGAAAATCTGACACTGTGCCTCTCTTCTCATATGGTTTACGTGCAAAGTACTCACCTTCTGGCTAAAAGGGGATTTGAAAATGTTGGCTACAACATGTAGGGGATAATAAAGCTGTTGGTGAGCTTGCACCAGATACAATTCTTTCAGTGGTTTGACACAATCAGCATTTGAAACACAGCAGCTGGCAGCGATGTCTGTCCTACATCACTTCTAATTTTGTAAAATAATTGTTTTTTTGAAATAAAAATAGAATATTGGGATGATAGATTCCTTGGCACTCTGTTAATTGAGGTAACAAGTCTATATGCAGAAGTGCACGGGGCGGGGGGGTGGGTTGGAGTGGCTTGTGGGACAATGGATCTGAGACGGCAACTCTATTCATCCGGTATCCTGACGAGGGAAGCACACAAATTCCCAAAATTTTCCATCCTGGCTAGGATGTTTTAAGAGGAAACTTAGAGGAAACGTCAGACATCCTTAGGCGGAGGACCCGGTGGGGGCGGGCAGCGTCGAGAGCCCGCCCCGTGGAGCAGCTGTAAACAGCGGAGCGATGCGGGCGATCGGTAAGGGACGGTGGCAGGGCGGGTGGGACAGTGCGGGGATTGTGCGGGGAGGAGCGGGCTCGCTGCTTCTCGTGTGCGCGGTGCTCAGCTTGGCTGCCCGGGGGGAGGTCAAACCGTGTGTCATCGCCCGTGCGGTGTCTGAAAATTATAATTTAGTCTTTTATGAAGCTGTAGTGTTTCGTAGATATGTCAAAAATTAATCCTTGAAATAGATTTTGGATTCTGTTTTTCACCCTCTCCCTTTTTTCCTCCGCATTATTCTGTAATATAAATATTCACAGTTTGAACATTGGTTTGCTGTTGTGCCTATACTTGCCACCCTGCTGGGCTGCAGTTTGGGGGTCAAGAATGACAATGCTCTGATGGTGTTGAAGCATTAGAACAGGAGGCTCAGGGAAGCTCTGGATGCCCCATCTCTGGGAGTGCACAAGGCCAGGTTGGATGAGGCTCTGAACAACCTGGTCTGGTGCAGAGTGTCCCTGCCTGTGGCAGGAGGATGGAACAAGGTGGTTTTTGAGATCCCTTCCAATGCAAACCATTCTGTGATTCTTTGATAGCCAGTGATGTTGTGTTTCCTTGCCTTACACTGCAGCAGAAGAGAGCTTAGAATGTCTCTCTTTCCTGAACCCACAGGGTGACAGTGAGCAATCTCTGTCCCTAATACCATGGGGCAGCAGGTGTGTTTGGGCAGAGGCACCTGAAGGGTGTTTTCCATTGCAAACTGCAACACCTGTATTCCAGGCTGCCTGGTAGCTCTCTCTCTGCCTGTGTGCATCCACACAACCCTCTCACACTGACCTGTAGCCTGGAAGTCCTTTCTCGTGAGCAGCTCTTAGGAAATGGGAAGGCAGAGGAGCACCATATGCTTGCCCTGGGCTCTCCAGTTGGAGAGCAACTCAGCAAAGTCTGTTGCACGAATGGAGACATCTCAGTAATGACCCATGCTAATTACCAGCTGGAACCAAAACAGGACCATAAAGGCTCTTTTGGATATCTCTGGGCACATGCACTGTATCCTCTAACCCCATCAGACCTCTGATAAAATTAATCCTAAATCCAGGTATTCCAGTTGGAAAGCTTCCTGACCTAAGGGTTGATTTTTCTCTCTGTCTAATTTTCAGCCTAAATGTGTTCACTGCATTTATTCTCTTGTTGTCATGCCAGCTTTATACTTTTGCTTCAGCAGTTTTGTCTCCTGTGATATATTTAGACAGCAATCCTATCCGCTCTCTGCCTACATTTGGCTAGGCTAAACAAGCCAGGCTCTTAAGTTTCTTCTTGTTTGATAGGTTTTTTGTTTCCCTCAGGCCCTTTCTGCACCTGTTCATTTGAGTTTATAATTTTTAAATGTGGGTGACCAGAATTCTTTTTTGCATGATGCTTCTTTCATCAGTCTATACAATAGCTCTGGTATTTCACTGCCTCACCTAGGACTGTGTTTGCTTTTCTTACAGCCTCATCACCTGTGTGTTCTTTAACATAGTTTTAGTGGATATTTTCCCCAATTTTATTATGGCTATGCATAATTATTAGCTAAATTAGGTTAGCTACGTAAATACCTCTCCTCTCATGCCTGACAACATGGGGAGGAGTTGAAGTCATCACAGAATAACTGTGTATGCTGATGCTTTAAATTGGTGCCTTGTGCTCAGGGCCAAGCTTTTTCCATGAGGGCTGGCAAGGACATTCTGCTACATCTGCTGATGTGTTGGCTGATGTGATGTGCTGGAGTGAGGGAGCAGCCATTTCTCCCAGCAATAAGTGTGGTGCTGCGTTCCCAGCCACAGCTCCCAGACAGCCCTGTCCCTGTCCCTGTGATAAAGTCTGTGTTGCTGCAGGGCTGGATGTGATGAAGGATTCAGAAGACAGGCACAGAGCCCTGCAGCCTGGGCTTGACCTCTGAGTGCTTTTGGCCATATCCGCTGCACAGCTACTCTTCATTTTTTCCAAAGCTACTCTTCTGCTGCCCTGCTTCTTATAATGCATTTAGAAGTAGAGAGTGGTTTTTCTCTTCCTGGCACTGTAGGGAAGCCCCCTCTCTCCCATCACTCCCAGCTTAAAGGAAAGACGTTTCCATATCCCTGTCTCTTTCCTCAGACTGCCTCTTCCCTCCAGCTGGGTGGAGTTGACTGTACGGAGCTGTCAGC